GAGAGAGAGAGAGAGAGGTATGAAAGCTGACAATTCAAATGAAAACATGAGGAAATTAAACTTAAAGTATGAAATATGAGAAAGTCCCTTTGTTTTGTAAATGTTCCCATCACTTCAGAGGATGTTAATTTCCTGGATCATCCCAAACCTGAAACCTTAAAGTCTTCAAACTAAGGTTCACTGATTTATGTTATGGGAATTCTGTTTTGACCTCATAAAGGTCCTTGCAGTGTTACTGTGTAAACATGAGTCCCCACAGCATAAGGCATACAAACACACACGAGCACACACACACATGCTTTTTGTCCCATCCATGGCTTCTCTGTAGCTTTCATAATCCATGAGCAACTCGGATTGATTCCACTACTTTTAAAAAGGTCAAAGGGCAAAAAGTCACAAGTTGGGGTCAACAGACAATTTTTAAGCACATGAATGTGTGTGTGTAGTGCCGAAGGGCTGGGGTGGTGGTTCAGTGACCAACAAAGAAATTCCAGATGCTGAGGAATTTATCTTTACTGGGAATATGTTGTGTTTCAGCAAGGAGAGGTCATGAGAACAGCAGAAAGCACACACACACTCAAACACACACCACAAACAGCATCCCCACTTCCTTTTGGACCAATCCCTGAAAGCACAGACACTTTAAATCCATCAGTTCATTAACACTGTTGGGTTTTTAACCACAAACAGGATAATAAGATCAGGACTTGTGTTTCCCGCTGACTGTTATGCGCAGCGCAGTGTCTCTTGTCACCAAATAGCTGGGACTTGCCCAGAAATGCCTTCTCGTTGGGAAGGAAAAATCCTCTGGAGCAACATAAAACCCAAATAACACCTTAACCTTGTTGTTTAAAAGCAGCAGAGATGAAAAACTTTCCACACTTAGAGCCACTTAAGCATGAAGTCACACCTAGAGTTTGGATTGTGTGGACTGAGCTATAGTGGAAAAGTTTACTCTGTCAAAATCACAGGCAAAGTACAGAGTCAATGAGGTAGACTGAGTCATATTTCTTGTATTTTATATGGATATAAGTCATATGATATTTATGGCTTCACATATCTATATTAAATATCCATATAGATGATAATAAAGACAACCGTGATGACGATAATGGTGTTGGGAGTGATGGTGGTGCTGATAGTAATGCTTTAATTTATGAAAACGTTGAACTATAGAGACGTTTACAGTTGCAGATATTAAAAAGTATCAAATTAAGTTTAATACATGTGATTTTAAGACAAATCTGAACTGGCAATTCATAAGGAACCCATCTCTAATTCCATTTTTTTGTGTTGTTCAAACTCTGGACGGGACGTTAAAATTCATACTTTTCAAAAGTACATAAACTTACATATGATGCAGAATTCTTTAGTCTCTCGGGTTTTATTTTTGGTATCCATATGTATTGTTGGGCCCTTTATAAATTTACCCCCTCGTGGAAAAGAGATTTATAAATCTTTATTTACTGATGATGGACAACCTCTGCTGTGCACCTGTCCTATGAAATAAGTGTGTTTTCTGAAATATCATGCTTTAAGATCATTTTCAGTTAATGCTAAAATGAAAATCGTTAGCTTCATAGCATAAGTGCCTAAGTCATTTTTTGGTCAAATTGAAAATATCAATTAAAAATATGCATGTGATATTTAGAAAATTAGTTTTGTCTTGTTTTCCGAAAACACAAAAAAATGACTTAGGCACTTATGCTATGAAGCTAACGAAATGAACTAATTTACGCCATTTTTTTTAAAGTTAATAAAATGGAAAATACCCAGATTTCTTGTATATTTTAAATTTAAAAGGACAATTACAGTTTAAAGTTCAAGTAAATTAACTAAATAACAGATATTGCTTGAATACAAAACATGCTTGTGTGTGTGTTTTATTATTGACAGCATTGATCTTCCATAAATATCAGGAGTTTATTTTGTTACAAAAGGACTTCCTTCCTGTCATCAAATGCCAGCATTTGTCTCAGCTTATAGCCTTGAACGCCTGCCTCGTTGGGTCATTTCCTGTTTTAGTTCAGAACACCATGTCTCAGAGAGAAAGGAGACTCATATTTCATATATTTGGTTTCAGGAAACACTGAACTATGTCATCATTCTCAACTGGATTGACCCCAGGATAGGAAAAAGAAACAAAACGATGTCTTTTGAGTAACATTTTATTCCCCAGTAAGTAAAAAACAAAACAAAACAATGAATATGTAACACAGTTGAGAGATGAAATAAGAGATGTTGAGTCATGTAAAACAAACCGGATAAATCTGATACGTCTTCGCTGTTTTTGGTATATTTAATTCACTTTGTTCACGATGTATTCATTGGCTTTTAACCGGAAAGAAATAAGACATAAACGTGTCAGAAAGTTCTGCTGCCTTTCATGACAAACATGCAAAGTTTCTGATACAACACAAGCTGTTTGTTTGGCCGTATCTGTCATTTCAGCTTTGGGCAGCGTCTTTGCTGTACTCAAGTCTGGAAAGAGGTCGTGTTGACCACAAGTCCCTTCCAGAAGAGCTCGCCTGCCAGAAAGGCTTTGTTTTCTGATCAGGACGACTCGTGCTCTCGAGAAGCTTTGATCACCACACACACCATGTCTTTTCATGCCAGTAATGGCTCCATATCTCGAAACATAAAACTCTTCTTGTGATGTTTTTTTTCCCTTTGGCGTTTTAGCTCTTATTTCCGCCACATGCCCGGCTGCAGGTTGTCATTTTTCAGCCCGTACTGCACTCAGATGGTCGTGGCTGATTTGACTTTGGAGGAGAGGACCTGCCTGAACCTCCTCTTCAGCTCCTGCATGTTGGGAGATTTGGGTCTGGCCAGGTGGAGTCCTCCTCTTCTCTTCTCCCCATTCCCTCCTCCCAGTGCCCGGATCACCTGCGGGACAGAAGACAGACAGACTTGCCAAAATGTAATCACATATGAGAACAAGTCAGTTTTGCTGCAATTTAAAACTGATGCCTGCTAAACTAATTCAAGTCAGTACTGGAAGAAAATTAAGTTTGAATGAATGTTTGAAATCAAATCTGGTTTATATTCCACTGGATTCAAACAAAGGCTTAGACTATGTTCAAATATGACAGAAGTTCAAACAGGTGTCCTGTTTTAAGATGACATTTAAGGGTTTATAATAATAAAATTGTTGTAAATATGTTTGCAGTTAACAGGAAACAAAAAAAAAGGAATAAAGTTAAGTCTAAAAGTCTTTATTACTAAAGCTTATCAGGGAAACACAAAGATATTAGGCACTACAGAAAAGGTTTAGACTCTGCCGGCACACTTTCAGGAAAAGTGACACTTTTGTGGAGAACTGATTGGTCAGAAGGTTATATTTGCAGTTACCACGACGACATATTCCATCAAAAGGTGGGGTAAGCCTGAAGTTACCTGGCTGAATTAATGACGTTCCTCCACAGTAAGTGTAGAGGAACAGCACGTTGACCATATAAGCTTGATACAATGTTAGTATTGTGTTTACTGCTTATTTTCACTCCCTTCAAAGGACTATTGCTGCTCAAAACACTGAAATATTTTCATGCATTCCTCATGTGACAATTAGCAGCACCCATACAGATCTCATATCCTGCAATCTGACAACCACTCTCCCAGACTCCATCAAAATTAAGTGAGTGTAACTTATATCACCACTACCACTTCCTGCCTTGTCATGTGAAATCTCTCAAGCGTTGTCTGTATTAGGAAAAAAAAAACCTTATCCAAAAAATACACCATTAAAACCAAACTTTAAACTTAATGAAAGCTGGAACTGAAAACCAAAACAATGACCTGAAAGACTCAAAAAGCTACAGAGAACCGCAGATTTACACAATGATTCAACAAGCCAGCGTTTGGGAACCTACTCTCTGCAGCGCCACGAAAGGAAGCAGAAAGTCTAAACATACCCAAAATGAAACAAACCACTTGGGCAAAAATTACTCCACTAGAAAAAACAAATATACAAACCAGTCTATTATGGGCTTTTTGTGATCCTTTCTGGACCAACACATGGCTTTTCTGTGTTTTCTGTATTTATGGGCATCAAGGGGAAATGAAATCCATTTTCACAGAAAGCAGAAAGTCCCACATAGTTGGTTGGACTCAGAATACACCGATAGCTAAGTCAAATTCTAGCATTTTGGACTAACAAATATCAGCAAAAACAAAGTCCCACCTCCTGACAGAGATGTAGGAAGGCAGCATGGACTCCTTCGTGGTTTTCTCTGGCTGAGACCTCAAAGTAAACTCCTCCTGTGAGCAGAAGTAACATTCAGATTAGGGCCACTCTTATCTTTAGCACAGAAATGTAATTCATTAGATATCATGCAGTATATAGTTAAGATATATCACATACTGTATATACAGGTCTGAGAAGTTAAATCAATAAAGGGGTCAAGATTTTTTATTCATGGTCATATTTTTATGACCATGAAATTATTTACATAAAACAAGGTAAAGAAGAGATTGGCTAAAAATAACTATAAAAAAAAAAACTCTGAACTTAAACACTGAGTTCGTTTCTTAGTTTGTTAGTTTTTATTTACATTTATTCGACAGCATTTTGAGCCATTAGTTGTTATATTTCAGCTGTAGCTGCTACTTGTTTTTATAGTTTAATTAGTCCACTTTCTGTTGCCTCGTCCTGTTCATTCTTGTTTCTGTGCTCCCTTGCTTCACGATAGGTATTCACATCATGTTTTACTTTGTTAGTTATTTGTCTCCCGTGTCTTGTGCTTGACTTACAGTACCCTACTCTCCTGTCTCAATGTCACTGATCGTCTTCACCTGTGTTTTGCTCCACCAGTTCCTTCCACTTGTCTGATTTCCTCATGTGTATAAACAGTACAGTCCTTCCCCTAAGTTGTCAGTTTACCCTCGCTGTGCGTTTCTATGCAGCCTTAGTGTGCCTTTATTTGCATTTAGGACTCTTATGCCACATTACATGAAACAATAATTTTACTCATTAGTCTCCTTCTTTTGTATTCTCATGTGTATAAATAGTCCACTCCTCCCCCTCAGTTTTTGTATTTTTGTCATCTCTGCTCTTTCTGTTTCTTCATGAACCTGGGGTGCACTTCTTTGCATTTTGGAGTCTTATCAGCCTGAATAAATGGCTTGTATTTTGCTTATCCACTCTCTAAATTTCATGGGTTATTTGAAAAAGAATATTTTATTTATGCTACCGTTGTCTACTTCACAATTCAATCGCAGTAGTGATATGAAATTATGTTTTTTAATGATCTTAGTTGCACTTTCTAAACTCCACAGAGACATAAACATATATGCTATTAACCTTTTTTTTAAAATTTGAAACTACATGAAGATTTTCAGAGGATAGATGGTGATGTTACTCAATGTTACTCAATTGATGGTGATGTTACTCAATTCTCAACACCAGCTACCACTGTTGAGAATTGATAAGATTTAGTGATTCCAATTCAATTATCGATACTGCTGGGCTGTGGTTGGCATTCATTCAGCTTTAAAATAACTCTGGATTTTTGGTTAGCTTAGCATTAGCAGGCTATCTGTGCAGATACTTGCAAAGAGCCAAAGTTGTGCTGCTCCAGTCTGCATGCCAAAATATCATTGGGCAAGATATTAACCCCAGGCTGCTCTCTGATGCACTTGCGCATAGAAAAAGCATTTGTATGAATGGGTGAATAAAGCATGTTGTAAAAAGTGTTCTGGTAGAGTAAAAGGAACCAGTCCATTTACCATTTAGTGGTAGGACATATTATGTGTTAAACATTTAGCCTTGTGATATATTTTATTGCTAGTAGAGGACATTTTTAACACATTAATGCCCACAAACTGGAGCAGTCGGGCTTCCTTTTTGAAGAAATATCTCTTTTGATTAGTGGGCAAAGGTTTGGTGGTACAGAAGTAGAAGAAACTCCCACCTAATGAAGCTGCTAACGTCTCGCCTTCATCTGCAGGCACTTGTCGGGCTCGGAGCAGGTCACTTTTGTTGCCAACCTGCAGCAGATTACAGATGACACAACAGATTAGATTATAGGATTGGGGTTAGTAGGTGTCTGGTATTGTCTGGTCTGTCTTGCACTAAAGATTGAATGAACAGAAACAGAGACATTTTAAATAAAATAACTGAAAGAATATCACTAGGTTGTTGTTTTTTCCAGGTTGTTTCTAATGATCGCATAACTAACCAGTATAACCGGTATGTTTCCAGAGGGGTGTATACGTCTGACATGCTGGTACAGTGGCTGGATGGTTCTGTAGCTGTTGTGGTCTGTGATGGAGAAAACCAGCACATATCCATCTGCCCAGTAGATTGACCTGCAGGCCCAGTTATCATAGTGGAGGTTAGCATAGTGCACTGTGTTTAATTCAAATTCATATTCGTGTGTTTCCAGTCTTACCTGTTGATCTGCTCCTGACAGTACAGACCCTCAGCATCGTCCTGTAAAACACACAGTAACATTCTGTAGTTCTGCTAACAGGTACTAGAAAGGGGATCATATTCAAATCTAGAACTTAATTTGAAATTCTCCTTCACACGAAGTTCTGAATAATCAGGAACCATCGTATCTTGAAGAACTTGCAGTACCATGCAATCCTAGAGTAATAGAGAACTTCGCGCTCTCAGATTGCAGGCTTACTTCTCGTTGCTAGAGTTTCTATAAGTAGAATGGGAGGCAGTGGCTTTGTCTTTCAGTCTCCCCTACTGTGCATTTAGTTTTGCTGCTATAGATCCAGATTTCCCATCATAGACTGCTCCTTCAAGCCCCTTTTTTCCATTTGTCATTATTGCATGGCCTAAGTTTTGTATGTTTATGTTATCTCTCTTTTCTAATTTTATTCTTCTATACAGATACAGCCTCAAATATATGCACTCACCCCCATTAATACTTGGTTAAAGGTCTCTAGCAAGTTGTATGTCAGCCAGACACTTTTTGTCATCATCAACAAATTCGTGGCATAACTCTTTGTGGATTTCTGACCAATCTTCTTGGTAGAATTCGTAGAGTTCAGTTAAATTGGTTGGTTTGATGTCACAGACGCGGCTTTTAAGCACAATCCACAAAAATTGGTTTAGGTTGAGCTGTTGCAAGGCTGTTCCAGAAGTTTAATGCTAGCCTGCTTCATCCATCAAAACAAATTTTGATGTCTGTTTGGAATCATTGTTCTGCTCAGAGAATGAATTATATCCAAGTTTCAACCATCTAGTTGTTGATTTGTAATGAAGTTGAAGAACTTGGCGGTAGTCCTCCTCCGTTGTTATTTAATTTACTTTGTACAATGTCTCAGTACCATTGGTATTTGGGCAGCTGCAAATTTGTCCATGGCGATATAAAACTGACTTGACTAAGGAGAGTGATGTTTGTGTTCCAGCAGTTCATGCCAGCCTTCATGGTCCCTCGTTTTTTTTCTGAACATCTGAACTAGTTTCCTGTCATTTGAGGATGATTGTTTGGACCTTTTTCCAGACCCTGGCAAAGTGTTGACACATCCAAATAACTTGTACTTATGTACAGTTGTTTGAATTGATGATCCTGGAATCTACAGTTGTTTAGAAATGGCTCCAAGAGACCTTCCCAACCTGTGAAAATCTATAATTCTTCTTCTCAGATCTTGCTTGAACTCTCTCGTTGTTCTGACTGTTGCTCAGTCCAATGAGTGCTGTCAAACAAATCCTTTTTATGCTGACAAAGGGAAACAACTAGTTGTAGTCAATCATCACTAACAACAAGTTAAAAGGCCTTTGTCTTGTGAAGTTAGTCACATGAATGTTTGTATATATTTGAGAATGTGTGGTTCAGAGAAAGTCTACAATAAATTCAGATTTGTACACCTAGTTCTTGTTGTTTAAAGTCAATAAAAGACCAAAGTTACAGTGACATTCTTGCGTATGCTCATGATGACTGGATTTCTGAACACAACTGTGCGTGCTGCAGAATTGCATGCAACACGTCAGACCAAAAACAAAAAAATCATGCCCAACACAAACGAATATAACCATTTCACACCTGTGATGTTATGATTGTTTAAAACCCATCCACGGTGATTTTCCTGTTCAAAGTGGCCAAGCACATAGTAATTGTACTAGAACTATTTCCATGACTAATGCCTCCTTGTGGACATGTGCCAGCTGTTTCTGACTTTGAACTCAATCCATCAGACCACCCAATTTATTATCTTATCTGAACTCTACCTACAAATTTACCAAGCAAAGTGTGTTTCCATTATTTGCTTTTTAAACACCACATTTTAGAAAACACCCAATAAAAGGTTACGAAAAAGCCCTTAACTGCTTGACCTCGACACACACATTCAACACTCATGCTTCTCTCACACGTCAGTTATTTCTGTCTAATCTCTGAGAGGTGGTCCAGCCTGCCAGGAGAGACCTCCTTGCCCTGTTATCTCCCCCCGTGTAGGAAATGAGCAGCTCTGAAGCTTGGTTTTGTAAACAGGCCGTTGAGCAGGATAAGCTGTGTGGCACGTTGCACTCATTAAACTCATCATGTGTGAGGAGATTGTATTTGAAGTACTTCCTCATACTTCAATACTTTCCTAAAATGGCTTTGAGATGACTTTTTTTTTTTTTTTTTTTAAATGGGAATATTTGGGGACTTTGGGGAGTACGACTTTTACTAAATTAGGCAATGATGCAAGAAAGAGATATCCCTTTGGAACTTTTTAACCCCACAAATTAAAGCTAGCACAGTATCAGATTTTCACATCCAAATTATCAGTCAAGGAAGTTCACAACAGCATATTATTGTTATATCTACAGGATATTTAAAAAAAAAACGAAGGAAAAGAACAAATGTCAGTCCTGTTATTGGCAAATGAATCTAGAACTATGTGCACAGAGGCAGGTAACTCTAATCGTAATGGTACAAAAGCTTAGAAATAAAACAACACACTTTTAGGATATATTGTATGTGCATCATCATCATCAGCTTTTTTCTGATTTGTTCCCCTTTATAAATAAAACATTTGAAGAGAAGGTAGGCGAGGCTTTTGTACCTGAGATAGCCAAACAGTGGCCTCGGTAGCACGTGGAAGAACGATACACAGCCACAACAGCCTCCCACCTCATAATCATGAGAAGTGACAATAATTACGAACTAATCAATAACAGGTCTCAGTTAAAGCCAGTGCCTTAATTTCCTGATGGTGGCTTACTTATCTCCTACATTTCTGACCCCATCAAGCTAACTCTAACTGATCTATGATCATTTATATTCTCAGTGCTTCCTTGTGGTGTGGTTAAAGGACATTTTGACACAAGATCTGAACAAAGATGTTTGCAGCAGTTTCCCAAAATATTCTTTTTTCTTTCAATTTTAACATCTAGAAATAGTTTGAATAACTTTCTAAATCAAGTCTGAAACCTGTCATATCAGCCGTCTGTATGTTTCAGTTATATTTTGGTACTTTCATGCAGTTAGCATAATGCAAGCTAATCTCCAGGATGACGACATGGCTACAGCCCCCTGTTTACCTGGAGAGCGACACAAGGTGTATCCTGGATCTGAAGCGACACTTCCTCACCCTCCAGCGTGACCTTTCGGGAGTAGAGTGCCCCTGCAGACACAGAGATTGAGGCGGAGTGATGAACGGATCAACTTTTTTTTCTATAACAGTGGACTTTTACAGAGGGAACTCAGTCAGTGAGTACAGTCAGATGTGCAGAAACTCACCTGTGTTTGCTTCATAATCACCAATGAACCTCTTGGTCAGAAACCTAACAATCAAAGCTAAAAAGAAACAAAAAGAAAAATTAGAGATGCAAAAGAAGAATAAAAAGTAACAAGAAGAATGAGCACAGAGTTTGTCCAGAATCCAAACCTCTGTTACAGAAAAATCAAATGCCCTGCAGTAACCTTCTGATCTATTTAACACTTTCCCCGAGCACTGCTACATAAGTTTGATTTTCAAGACTTTAGTATCTAAACAAAAGAGTCCAAAAGTCTGAAGGGAGAAATGATTCACCAATACTCAGAATTTGAATCATCTTCTATTGGTAAATGATTGCCTCATCCACCTCTGGGTGTTTGGATTCTGAACACTGTTTTTCTAACTTTCAGTCTTTTGGGAGTGGGAGTTTGGCTTAATATATCTATTTGGATACCACCCCATTCACTCCATCAAAGGAGAGGTTTATCTTTCTGTAGGCTACCAACAGATGACACCATGAATAATACATATAAAAAGGTCACTGGAATGATTCAGTGACTGGATTTAAAACAATAAAGGACTCACAAGAGATATAAGCAACATAATAATGGTCCACATGCCTCAAGAGATAACTTGTAGCTTCATATTAACAACTATTGTTCTTATTTCAGATAAAGGCATGAAATTAAAGGACCAATACTAATCAAAAGGTTCAAACTGAAAGCTTTATTAGTTTGTGTGTGCATTGATGCTTTGCTCAGAGAAACTGAAAAAAGAAAAAAAAAGTGCAGAGGTCCATCTCAGAGTCCAACATTTATGCCAACTGAGGCATGTAAAGTATTGACAGTACAATTAGAAAAAGACTGAACGAGTACGGACGGTTTGGAAGGGTTAAAGGGAGAAAGTGTCTTCTCTCTAAAAAGAACGTGGCAGCACGGCTTTGGCTTGCAAAGTTTCTTCTGAAAACCAAAAACAAAGTCCTTTGGACAGGCGAGATCAAAGTTTAGGTGTTTGACCATAATGCACAGAACCACGTCTGGAGAAAGCCAAACACAGCATATCAGCACAAACATCCCATTACAGCTGTCAAGTGCGATGATTTGCGCTTGTTTTGCAGCCACAGGACCACTGAGTAAATCATGACTCCTCTGTATACCAAAGGGTCAAATGTGAGGACATCTGGCCCACAGCTAAAGCTTGGGCAAAATTAGGTCACGCAACAGCAAATCTACAACAGAATGGCTGAAAAAGAAAAGAAAGCAAAGTCCAGACCTCAACCTGGCAGAAATGCTATGATGAGACCTTAAGAGAGCTGTGCATGAACGAATCCTTGCAGAGAAGAGTCAGTCACAATTCTTCCAGTTGGAGAAATAAAGTCAACAAACAATAACTTTGTGTTATTGCTGCTAAATGCTACAAGCTATTAAATCATGCAGTCTACTTTTTTTTCCACAGGCATGCAGAAACTCCTATGAAACTCTGTTTTTCACACGACTGCATTTGTATTAATGCATGTGTGAGTTTGTTCTTCTACACCCAGTGCTGCCCTAACCATGTAAAAACTTCTTCGACTTCGAGCATCCATGTGCTGTCCGATAAAAGGTTAAATGAATAGGCTGCAGTATAAACTTTAACTACATTTTGATATTTTAAAAAACATTGAAAGTATTTCTTATCAGCTAACAGCTTCAACATGTCATTTAATCATTGACCAGTGAGACAAGACACCTCTAAAATACTGGACATGTAGTAGCACAGCATGAGCCATTGGAGCACCCACAAATCCTGGTTCCTATATTTCCCATAATGCAACTAGGTTGCATCTTACATTACGCCTTTTGTGTCAGGTAAAATGTTTTTGTCTTTTAACACCACAACTGTGGTTCATGACACCGATGCATCATAAAAGTGCAAGTCATAAACTCAAGTTAAGGCTCCCTTGGTGATATCACAGCGGCATCATTAGGGTGCATCATGTGGGCCACAACTACTTTGAATGTTTACTACTAACTGATGAACTGATCATTTCTGTGGGAATCTTTTAGCTCTTCCTTCGCTTTCTGCAGCCTTCTCGCTCTCATGTTCCAATCTGAGCTTTATTATAACTGTAGCTCAGTCTCTTACCTCCAGTGAGATAAATGAGCCTCTTGTACTAAAGCTTACTCTCTGCTGCTCCCCTGGCTGATCTGTTTAGTCTGTTACTGAGAGCCAGTGCTGCGCTTTCTGACTGCAGGGCATCAAATGTATTCTGAGAAGCCGCCGTATGCTTAAAGATTCCTGAAATCTAAAATAAAACAATCGAACAGAAGCTGCCATTTATAGTCTTTCCTTTCCTCATGTTGGATACTTTTATTCTGAAGGGTCCCACTCAGGTAGTTACATTATAGCAATACAGTATCTATATTTACTTTGAAGACTATACTCAGTGCCAATATTAAGCTGTTTTGATAGGTACTTTGAGTGGATAAGATATCCAAATTACTCCCCATTTTTGACTTTTCAAAATAAGAGTTTGAACGCAGAACCAAGCACTACTTCCTAAAATATATTTTACATTTTTTTTAAACTAATCTTAAAATAAATAGATAAACATGGCTTCATTAACTGATGCAAATGAATAAATACATTGATAGTGGTATATATATTTTCTATGTTTATTTTGATTACGCCCTCTGTTAATGCCATCAACATGCCAGGCAATGCAAATGAATATTAGAGTGTGTGCCTAAATCTGGCACACATCCGGCTGGTAGCGCAATATTGCCTACCATACTATATGGGTGCTTATGTTAATTAGTACCTCATGCACTTTTAACATAAAAATAAAAATACATTTGCCTAGCATGCACTAAAATCTTTGCTGCTCATCAGTTGTTTTTGTCCAAAATGCTTGAGTAAAGTTATCAGTGCATGGCTTTTAATTGTCAATAAATACTTTTTGATTCGTATAGTTTCTGTGAAATTATTTAGATACTTCAACTACAACTTGATATACTCATTAAGAGCCGTTAAAGTGGACGAAAACGAGTTAAATTGATCATGTAAACAATGGGATTTGTCGCCCCCTGGCGATCATTACCGGTATGCATTTTCGGCAGGCATTTGCAAATATTTCTACCTTAATTAATCAGAATATTTAAATTAGAACGAACCATGCAGGATTGTTCATAGTCGTCATGTTAAAATCCAAGCCACAGTTTTCCCAGAGTAGTTCCCCACAACGCGTCAAATCAGCTTTAGTTCCCGTGCAAAACTTCCCGCATTCATTTGAATCCTAATTTCACGAAACGACCTGACTAAAAAACAGCCCCCCCCCCCCCCGGCCCCCCCCCCCCCCCCCCCCCCCCCCCCCCCCCCCCCCCCCCCCCCCTCCATTCCTCCCCGTACCGGTTTTCCCGACGTTGCTCGCTCCCAGCACCACAATCTTCACCGTCTTGTTGGGCACGCAGTCCAGCAGGGGGTACTCCGGTATGGGGACCAGCAGAAAGTTGCCAGACCCGCTGCTGTTCATGGTTCCCGGTGCAGGGTCGCCAGTCAGCCGCATTTAGCTCCCCTCTGCCCTCAGCTCAGCCCTGCTCTCACTAGAAAAATAAAAAACAAATCCCTGGACCCAGAGAGGGGAAAAATTACTCCAGCGCGCACATAATATCTCTGTAGAGAGGACACCGGACCTCCTGAGGTAGCCTGTGGATTATTCACGCTTCTAGCAGCTTTAAACGTGTTGTGAAATTACCATAGAAAAACTATTTTATCCGGGGAAAAAAAATCCAAATTATCTTCCAAGTATCCCAGTTCCAGTTCAAAGTTTTCCTCCACTGAGTGAAAAGCTTCGTGGATCCTTTTCACTCACTTCACAAACAGGCATCCCTGCCCTCTTTTGACGCCTGAAACAAATAAAAAAGAGAAAAGGATTCCGATCCGCAGCGATTCCAGATGCCTCTGACTGAGAGCAGAAAGAGGCAGAGAGGGAGGGATGTAGACTTTGAACCGTCCCCTATAAAATTCCCGTGAGACCGGTCTAAATCGAGCTCCACTTCCCGGTCTGGAATCAGACATCCTGAAGCTTCTGGGAGCTGATAAAACACGTGATTAGTAAGTAACGAAGCTGCAAAACAAACACGCAGAGCAAGACGAAGCCCTGTGAGCCAAATACTAATATTAATAATAAATATGTCTCCTTAGCTCATTCACACGTTCTGTGCTTTCATTGTGTTGGAAGACCATTTCTGTATTAATCACGTGACCTTTCCAAGGAGATTTTATTTTTTAACATTTTTGATTTGCACAGATAGACAGATTCAGTTGTAGTACAAAGTTTTGATCGGCATTTTCTCCATTTTAAAAATGTTATGTATTCATTTATTCATGAGAATTTTTAAGCCTTCTACTGTTCACCTGTTTGTTCTTCCATCTTCCCAGAGACTTTATTTTTGCCATTGTTTGCCATATATTTTATCTTCATAGTTGAGTCCAAAATCAAAACCCACTTGCCACCAAGGTGTTACTAATAAACAAATAACTGAGTGAAATGTTTTCTAGGAACCCAAACAAAAAAATGTAAAATGTAAAAGTTTTGTAAAAGACACTTTATCAGGTTTAAAACTCATGTAAATACAGCAAAAAGTCAAGAGTTTATCTTAAAATTATTGTAATTTCGGTTCACACCCCTGTCGTAGATTTAAAAAAAAACAACACACACATTTTAATACATTTTTGATTGTTAAAGATAGTCGCCATCACACTGAACACTCATTCAGTTTCACACAAGACTTTCAGAAGCTTTTAAAAATGTAAAAATGTACTTTGCCCAACTTTACAATGGTTACATGTGTTTATTTTGTTTGTAATTTCAATATTTCTTTTTAAATCTTTGCGTAAATATACAATTGACATGATAATTTAAGCTATTAAAAATGCAATAGCTAAGAAAAAAGCTTTTACGATTGTCTGTTTAAAATAGATGTAATACTTTTATTTATAGATTAAGACATAACTGTGACAAATAACTACTCAGAACCACAGAAATGTTTTAATAATATTTTTGATTTTGAAAAGGGTTGAAAATAAGTGCTCGTATTAGATGCTAGCAGTGGAATGTAATGAAAGGCATTTTATTTCATTTTAAACAAAAAACAACCCACACGCTTTTTATTCCTCCAGCGGTTCTGACACAGGAAGCACCGCCCGCCAAATACAGCCTCATGCACAGAATCCAACTAACTTCAGTCCGCCTGAGTTGTGAGTAGGCGACCCTCCCTCTCAGCTTCCCCGAGTGGACGGCAGCGAAGTCAGACGGCGACACTAGAACCGGAAAACCACGGGTGTTTAACCTTCAAAATAAAATAAGAGTGTCAGTAGATTAACTCCTGACAGGATTTTAGTTTTCTTGAGTTGTGAGAAATAATTAGTGTATAGACAATAATTAGTGTAATTAGACAAGTTAACTAACTTATATTGATAAGTTAGTTAACTTGTCTAATTATGTGATTGCATCAAGTTTTGCAAATTTGTTATTCACACATCACTGTTTCAACAGTCGGGACCAAAAGTTTAACAAAGAAACACAAACTAACTGGAAACAATAAAACAGCTCCACAACATGATTTTGTCTGCAAGCCTCTCCTTCGTCACTCTCCAAGCCCTCATCCAGATCACTCATTATAGTTCAGTATAGATTTTACAAGTCCACCCTTAAATCACTCTTTATCAAGCTCTTGGTGTAACTATAGTCTGTTTTACGACTTTGATTTTTGGTCTCATTTAAGTCTTCTCTTTCATATTCTAGTTTTTTTTTTAAAATTATTATTCATTTAATAATCAGGATACCTGTGTGAGACAATGTGGGTCAGATGTTATATATTACCAAAACAAACACAAAGTATCCAGAAAATATGAAAAAGTCAAATGTGGCGTATTAGATTTTAGTGGATTTTTTTTTCAACTTCTATTGAAAATATCTACTGATGTTGATGCCAGCGGTAAGAGGAGAACAGCCAGACTGCTTCGAGCTGATAATAATGCATAGTAACTCAAGTACCTGTTCATTACAGCCAAAGTATGCAGAAGAGCATCTCTGAACAGCAGCAGAAGACCACACCAGGTGTTACCTTGTCTGATAAATCTCAATGACTGTTGCCATATTTGGATGGTAGCGTCAGAATTTGGTGTAAAGAACATGAAAGCATGGATCCATCCTGCCTTGTGTTAACAGTTCAACCTGGTGATGTAGGTTTAATAGTGTAGCAGGATATTTTCTTGTCACACTTTAGCACCAACTAACAACCATTTAAACACCACAGCCTATCTGAGTGAATCCAACATAAATTTACATTTGTGCATGCAACTCTTGTTTTTAGAAGTCAGGGAAGCTGTGCCCTGATATTATTATGAATGCAATTTGCACTACGGTAGTATCTAGCACAATCTCAGTCTTACTATTCTGTGACCTTAACCCCCTCAGGCCTATTTTAGAATGTCTTAAGGATATCAGAGCATGGCTGGCTTTGAATTTTTTAAACTTTAACGAAAAGAAGACTGAAGTCATTATATTTGGGCCGAATGGACCTGGTGTCCCTCCATCTGACTTGGGTCCTCTTACATCGTGTGTCAAATCAATTGTCACCAACCTTGGAGTAAAATTTGACACAGCTCTTAAAATGGACAAACAAGTAAATACAGTGGTGAGAAAAAGCTTTTTTCAGTTGAGGCAGCTCTCTAAAGTAAAACCTTTTATTTCTTTTTGTGACTTGGAGAGAGTTTTGCACGCATTTGTGACCACTCGCCTTGATTATTGTAATGGACTTTATATTGGTATTGATCAGGCTTCACTATCGCGCTTGCAAATGGTCCAGAATGCTGCTGCTCGCCTGTTGACAGGGACACGCAAACATGAGCACATTACCCCTGTTCTTGCCTCCTTACACTGGTTGCCTGTCCATTTTAGAATTCATTTTAAAATTTTATTGCTTGCTTTTAAAGTCTTAAATGGCCTGGCTCCGTCTTACCTGTCAGACCTTTTACACCAATACACTCCACAAAGATCTCTCAGATCATCTGACCAGTCACTCCTTGCTGTCCCCATGTCGAGACTGAAACACCGAGGGGACCGAGCTTTCGCTGTTGTGGCCCCCAAACTATGGAACAAACTGCCCCTCCATATTAGGCTGGCCCCAACACTTGAAATGTTTAAATCACTTTTAAAACACACTTTTTTTCAAAGGCTTCTAGGAGTGTTATCAGAGCCAGTTTGTAGTCAGTTTTTAGTCAGCTGTTGTCATTCTTAATCTTTTTACTTTGTTAATCTTATTCATTGTATATCTTATTGTTTATTCTACTCATGTTGATTTATTTTTATCTTCTTTTTCAATTATATATTTGTTTTGTTTATTGATTTCATTGTATGCTTAAAGTATGGTTTTAACTGCTATCTCTGTTTTATTATTGGAAAGCACTTTGGTCAACTTTGTTGTTTTTAAAAGTGCTATATAAATAAAGTTGGATTGGATTGGACTATTCTATTTGTTTTATTATAAATACAATTTTCGCTCCCTCTCACAGCGTACCTGTGGCACTCTTACTTTTACTAACTATGGTGGTTATTTCTAGTCGACTGTACCATTTTTTTTATCCTACTACTGTCCTCATTTTCCCTCAATAGAGTCTAGCAGCTAGCTAACTTGATAGCTAGCTACTACTGTACAATGATAGGAAAAAGAACAGCTCTAAAATACATTATTTAAAGCTTTCAAATGGCCAGTGAAATTCATGCCCAAGAAAAAAATAAAACTTTTGACCACACCTGTAAACCTGCTTAACAGTAAAGGATACGTTAAGCCATTTTATTTTGAAAATCAACCCCCTCCCCGGAAGCGCCCTCTGTCGGTCCGTGTACTCTGACAGGTTTATCAAACAGGGGCAGAAAGCTCTTTCGGAACTCTGCAGCCGCAGCGGCTCTGATTATTTCACCATCGGGGTTCGGTCCAACATGGCGGCTTACGGATGGAAATACTGATGACAGTCCGAAAGATCGCCTCGATTTGTACGATGGTAAGAAGCCGAATCCGGTGCTTTTACCCGCGGGGCGTGAATGCGCTGCGCCTCTGTCCGGTCCCCCCTCCCAGGGACGCTAGGCTAGTAGCTGCTCCGCTAGCCTGTTCGCTAACCTCACAGACAGGACAACATAATTAAAAGAAGAAAAAAACATCAGTCAGTCAGGGTTTCTCGGGAAAGTTGTAGAGCCTGCGAGGAGCATCAGTTTACCAGTACTTATCCTGCACCTCTGTATGGAAAGAGGAGAGGAGCTTCACGGGGAAACAAAGCGTGTTTTAACAGCCAGCCTCGGTTTGTTTACGCGGAGAAGGGCGAAAACTAGCTAGCCTAGCATGCTAGCTCTCACGGCAGCAGTCTCGGGACTCATCTGGATAAAATTTACGGGCCTTCAAAATGATAAAGTTGTTGTTGTACCATTGCGTATGTAAGTCAAAGGTGTGATAGGCAGACAATGGGCGGATGTAAACAGCTCAGCCAGCTGACTGCTGCCTGTTCATGTGTAACTGGTGGAAAATTTCCAGCAGTTCCTGTCATGGGATACACCCTGGATGCCCCCCAACCCCCACCGTGGACCTGCTAATAGTTTGGCTTTACTTCTATAAAAAAATAAAGAAGCCTTCAGCAAGGCAGAAGAGTCCGGACAGTTTAAAGGAAAACAAAGTTGTTGGGTGTGACTGTGCATTTTCTTTTTGCTTTTTTTATACCGCCCTCTTTATCAGATCTGGAGCCATGTTTACGTTTGCACATGTAATGCTTTGTAAGGAGTTAAATAAGATTTCCCCAGACACACTCCACTCGTTAAAGAGAAGCTGTAGGTGAAAACGTGAGACATTAACACTGCCTGGTTTCCTGTTAATGTGACCAGCTCTGCGTTTGCTTCAAGCTTAACCTCTGACTGTAACTTGTCCTGTTTGCATGTGCTGCACCTTTCAGAGGAGGACAGATGGTGATACAGATGCTTTGGAGAAGCCTGCTGCAGTCTTTGTCATTCATTTGTTGTTCCCGTGTGTAAGCTCTTATCCAGTGTTTTGTAACAGCCCAGCATCTACGAGACAGGAAAAAAAAAAAAGTTTGATTCGTCTCTGCTACCTTTGCGGGCTACGAGGTGCTGGCCGGATGGTGCTTGTTTCCACAGAAAGTTGATTTGGTCGTATGGAAAGTGCGAAAGCCACAAACAAAAGCTGCACAAGCCACAGCGGGGCACGGCCGAATTCAAGCGTTCGTCTGCCTTTGACGTGTGAGGCGGAGGACCTTTGCAGGGTTCAGAGCGTTGGTGTTTCCACAACAGAGCAGTGAAGTGCATCTTTGAAACAAACTGCCTTTGCTTCCATCGAAGGTGGATTTGTATTTTTAAAAGTAGAAGCTTAAATTACTTATTATTTACACATTCACCTGACAAGCAAAATATCCTCTGGTTTGATCCATAAATCAACCATAAATCCCCCTCTGTGGCTGAGAGGGGGAAAAATCAGCCAAATTAACATGCAAGGCTACAGAGGCCTAATTGTGAATAAGGGAGCAGCTGAGAGTAGCACTATGTGGCCAGAGTATCGGGAAATTTCAAAAGAAAAATAATTATTTAATCTAACCTTAACTGAACCAGGATAATATGGTGTGAGATTTAAAAAAAAAAAAAAAAAAATCCTGTCCAATCCATGGCAGTTGCGTAGACTAGTAACACGCATGAACATGCACACAGCTAAGCTCCACGCGATGAAGCCTAAAACCTCAACAAACAGGGTTAGTAATAACTGAACCAAAACTGTAGAGTTTCAGTTTAGTTTACTGAGATTTCAATAAAAAAAAAAAGTACCAGGGTTAACCCTGGGTTAGCCTACATCACTATGGTAACAGATAGTTCGAGATTAGAGATTAACAGATATGCCATGACCGCCTGCTGACTTGTCAATAGTAAGTAAATAACGTTACTCGGATTGTTGCGCTGTTTGGTAGTACAGGACCCTGGTCCAACTTAAACCACCTTAAAAGTGTATTCAGGGAGAGCAGCTGCTTGAGGTCTAGTAGGTAGATATAGATATATTTGTAGTTAAGTGTGAACTTTGAGGAGAGACAGAAGAAATGAGTCTCGTTGTCACGCTTTATAAGAAAAGATGGGAGCAGATAAAACACACTCATTCCCAAAGTTACATTCCGATCAGTCATGCTTACATGCCTGGTCACCACTCAAACACTAATTTTGAGCTGGGAAGATTACAAAAAAAATCCGCAGAAATAAAGGAAAGAAGCTTCATTTTCTTTTAAAACGCAGCAGACGCGGCTCATCTCGTGGACTCGAGTTATTTCGGAGCACGGGGGCAGGAAAAGGGCAGACAGACTAATGCTTTCCTAGCATCCTCCCGACCGATCGTCATGATTAACAAACCCGATCGGTGTCTGACAAAACAGCCACTTAAGAGTTTCCACTCGCGCTGTTTTCTAACAGCCTTTCGTGCTGCCCCGACTTCACTTCAACTTTCATTTCCACCAGTGCAGGAAGTGCAGCTCGTTTCAGAATCGGCATAACCCAAAAAAAGAAAGCACGAGTTAATTAAAATGTGTGATTTCAGAGCACGCTTAGACCGTCTCACTCTGCACGCAGATGTTTGCTGTCGTCTTTGTTTGCCTTTCTGAGATCAGTGAGCTTGTTTTTGTTTACAGCCCCGTGCTGCTCGGGGGGTCGTGTTTGTCTGTGACTTTACAAAGCGTTAGCAGCAGCAGCATCATCATCATCATCATCATCATGCCCCTCGCCTCGCACTGTTTCTCCCCGCTGGTGTAATTTAATCCTCGGTTTCTAGCAGGACTGCAGGGTTATATGTCAGTGTTATTCAGAAGTGTTTTTATTGCACTGTCACGTAAACACAGCCCTGCTTTCACATCCACGCTGTGCTACGAATCTGTCAAAATGCACTTCACATAAATGCAGTGCTTCTTTTAAAAAACATTTATTCTACTGCAGCTCAAACACAAAACAAAATCAACAGGGCAGTGCTTTCACTTTATGTTATGTTACTTTAAGCTTCTTTGCAGGCTTGCCCTGAGTGGAAGTATAGAAGCAAAATGCACTGCAAAGAAAACAGCTCAGCTCTCAACGGGGGGAAAAAAAGTCATGTTGAATATCTATAATATGATATGGACTGGGTAATGTGTGAGGAATGGAAGGATGCCACATCAGGATCGACCTACAGAAAACTGTGGGGTGGTAGAGTTGTGTAAGGACGTCAGGCTCTCAGGCCACCCTCATGAAGTCTGTTTCTGATTGTTTGGTGAGAGACATTCACACCAGTGTCCTGCTGGAGGTCATTTTGTAGCTCTGGAAGTGCTCATTCTCGCAATGGCCGACCTGGAGGAATTAGACTACCTGTGTGACCTCTGTAGGGTCCAGTTATGGCCTGATGACGATGGGGGTTCAAATTTGATTAATTGCGGGATTAATCAATGTGGGACTAATGTTTCAGTCACGTTAGAGCTATAAAAACAGGGCTACAGCCTCGTTGCAACAATAGAAATCGGTGGTTGCTCAGCAATTGAAAACAGTTCTAGCGACCAGAGGTGTGGAACACCCTCAGCTTGCAGGTCACCACAGTCACAGAGCAGTTGCACAGCAGGTCTCCTGGTTTTAGGCGACTTGTCTCCAAACAGTCAGATTCAGGCAGTCACTCTTGCTGTCTAATTGACAAACACAGCAGTCGGCCTGATTCAGCTGTGCCAGTGCAGTAGTGGGTTTGACTCGACCAGTTTGCAGCTGGTTTTGTTCTGGTTATGCTGCCATGAGCTTGTGTCATTTTTGTGGTTAAGTTGTCGTTGTAGAAGCTACGTCACAATTCGTGGAGGGATTTTAAAAAATGATTCAAATTTCTGCCTTAAATCTGTGACGTTCCGATCAGACTCGTTTGCACTAGTTTGTTAACTGACGTTAAGTTTTGAGCAGCTGTGACACAATCAGTCCAAGGGTCAACTCGCCCCCGTTCAGTCACAAACTGATGGCAATAAAATACGACTGCTATCTTGATGAATAAAAGTTGCTTTGACGACCTGGGCGGCCCAGTCTGTGTAACAAATACTTCAGAGGAAACGAGACTGCTAACTTTTTGCACACATTGGGAATAATTGTGGTCATGTGTCTGTGTCTTTGAGCCTAAAGTCCCGAGTTCTCGGTGTCAAGAAGGCATCTTCTCTTTTTACCTGGCTAGATCGCCATGGTAACTAATGCTGAACACATAAACTGGACCGCATCAGGTTATGTTCAAGTCATGCAACACTATCCCTCTAGATTGACGGAATGTGTTGCCCTCACTTTAGTCAGCGTTCACATTTTGGGTATCAAGAAAATTGCTTTTCAGCATGTTTTTAAACGGTTACATATATGTAGATGTGATTAATGGGGCTCGTCAGTGTGCAGAGGAAAATAAAATGCAGAAACCGAGGATGTGAAGTGAAAAACAAAGCTGCAGCAAGCAGATGGCTGAAAGTCCAACAGAGCAGAGAGAAAACAGAGCAGGAAAAACTGGAAACTTTGAGGAGGAAATTAGGACAAAGGAAGTTTTTAATGGATCATTTTTCATTAAAACAAAAACACTGACTGCAAGTTGTTACACATCCAAAATAATATGAAAATGTTCAGGAAATAATAAATAAAACAGTCATTCTTTTCCTTGTTTTAATTCTTTGCTTGCAGGGCGCCAATGCCTCTGCCTTGGAAAAGGAGATTGGACCGGAACAGTTTCCCGTAAATGAACACTACTTTGGCTTGGTTAATGTAAGTATCTGGTGGTGGCCGTGCACCTGTTTACCTGCTGCAGACTGCAGAGCACAGCCAGCAGCTACTAATCATGTTCGTCTGTTTGAAGATTCACACCGGATGTTTAGTTGTCAGGCCACTTCTTTAGTACTGCTGTGGCTTATTTGGTGTAAACGAGCAGAAAATGTGCCTTCCTCTAAATCCCCTGGCCTTCTCTCTGTTCCTTTTTCTTTCTAGTTTGGAAACACCTGCTACTGTAACTCGGTGCTGCAGGCTCTGTACTTCTGTCGACCGTTCAGGGAGAAGGTGCTGGCGTACAAGGTAAGTAATGAGAGACGAACTGTTGAGATGAAACCTGGTGCCCTGACAGAATGCACACACAGCTAAATGCCATATTGATATGATAGAGAGTTACACGTTTAAGTTTTCATAAAAAGCAGATGTTTAAATTGAGCCAAATCTGGTGCTTGGTTTGTGGTGCAATGGTTCTCATAGGTTTTCATCTTGTATACCATTATAGCCATTTGATAGCCTCAACTTCCTCTTTGAATGTGTTAATTTGAGCTTATTTGAACTCATTTGTATTTGGATCTGGATTTCTTAGAAGCCTTCCTTTACAAATATTGACTTAGTTGCTGCAGGACGGCTATCAAACTGCAAAATTACACCGGGGCTCCACAGCCTTGATTTTATGTAGGACCATAACCGGAATTCAAACAGCTGAGTCAAGTCTTCTATTGCAAAAAGATGTGACGCAAGCAATGAGTGCCCTCATGAGTGCAGACTGACTAAATTGCACGTTGGCAGTTAATCCCATGAGAATCTCCTGGGCCTGTCCAGAGGTTGCAAGTGTTGTGTACTCCACATCTGGGCAACCAACTACTAAAATTCAGTGAAATCACGGAGCAAACTAGTTGCAAGGAAGTTGTCGTCCTCTTTTGACTCTGTTGTGATGGAGCCATAAGATTGCTTAGTTTGTCAACATTTAGAGAGAGTTGGGGAATGGCTGCAATCACAGCAATGTAAGATAGTGAAGGATGTACCCTCCTCGATTCAGAGATGGTCTATCCTGTAAATGGCCTCCTTGCCCCCCCCGCTCAAACCAGCGTTCCCCTCTGTCCAGAATGTGTACATCCTCATCATTGAAAGATTTAGGTTAACTGACGATTCATTCCTTCTTTGCTATAGTTCACATAACCTTACTTCCATAGAGTAGATCAAGTATCAAGGTTCAGGCTAGTGTAGTACCATAAGATAATGTTAAACTATCTCTGAGTTGCTGAGGCTTTTACAGCGTAACGTTGACTATCTCCGTCTTCTTCTCTTCAGGTGCAGCCTCGCCGTAAAGAGTCCCTGCTCACCTGCTTGGCTGACCTGTTCAACAGCATCGCCACACAGAAGAAGAAAGTCGGCGTTATCCCGCCCAAGAAATTCATCTCACGGCTGAGAAAGGAAAATGGTGAGTGACTCAGCATGATGCTGAACTTTGTTTTTCCTTTTTTCAGAAAGAATATTCGTTGAGGTCGAACGCTTCGACTCTGCAGCTCTGCCAGATTGTGCAGCTGCTGTTTGTGTACGAAATAAGAAAAAAAAAAAAGTCGAAGTAAAATCGGAGACTTTCCTCCGTCAGTCGCTTGTTTTAACCCCACTTCCTCTCACTATTGACGAGCACAGCTGAGGCTGGCGGGGGAGAAAGGGGATGAGGCAGATGGACTGGGGAAAGGAAAAGAATGAGAGGAAGGGGAGGGTTATCGCAGCTGAAGAAATATAATTGTCAGCCAGATCCTGAAGGGGAAAGCAGATGTAGGAGAAGACGACAGGCTCCTGATTTGCTATATTTCTCATTGCCAGCATTCTGATTGCTCTTTATTCTTTGTTCTCTTTTCTTCTCACGTCTGTTATTTCCTATATTCCTCTTTCCACTTCTCTATTCTCACGCCTCTATATATCTTTATGTTTTCTGTTTGTTTCGTTCTGCTTGCTATTTTTATTTTGTTCCTCTCAGAGCTGTTTGACAACTACATGCAGCAGGACGCCCACGAATTCCTCAACTACCTTCTCAACACCATCGCTGACCTTCTCCAGGAGGAGAAGAGCCAGGAGCGGCAGCAGAACGGAAAACTGGTTCAGAATGGAGGTGGAGGAGTGGGCGGAGGAGGAGGGGGAGTAGGAGGAGGCAGTAGCGAATCAGGAGGAGGAGGTGGAGAAGTGGAAGGAGGGAAGGAGACGCAGCAGACCTGGGTGCACGAGATCTTCCAAGGAACGCTGACCAACGAGACGCGCTGCCTCAACTGTGAAGCTGTGAGTGGCTCGAGTACTCGGAGTTTGAACTGCAGATCAGTATAAGAAGATGGGCGTGACTTTAAACCTGAATTCTTTTTAACGGTCAATTAAAGTAAAGTCTATGGAGGAACGGCCCTCTCATCCAAATCCTATAGTATAGTTAAGTTTTCCAGGAAGTCCAGACTGTTCCCTGATTGTTCCCTTGTCAAACAGAGTGTGTATTCTGGAGTGTTTGTGAAGGCCCATGTCTTGTGTATCTGTGACTGCCTCCAGCTGGCTGTAGCACCAAAATCAGTCTCAGCAAATCATATTCTTAATTGTCCAAGTTCAAAGTCAGGCTTTCTTTGTGTTATCTGGTTCTCTAAAACCTGAAACCCCAGTCAGAGATGATGATGGTGTGAAGAAGTATGACGATGGGGGTCATCAAATTTCTGTGTTAAAGCAGGGCTTCCTGTGGGCTCATGTGAAAACCCTTCCCAGGTTATATGACTCTTCTTCTGCACAAAACAGTCACGTCCTCCAGTCAGAGACATGCGACTATAAAATAGTGTCAAATCTCCAAAGAACACGAAACAGAAGAATGCAACAGCATTGCAAATGAGATTAGCACACAGAGGGGCAAAATAAACTTTTGAAGTTAAATATTTTATCACCAAGCTCAGTGCTGCTGTTTATTTGTGATGACTGCAAACTGTTGTGGTTCAATCAGTGGTTTCAGTGAGGTGCAGATTGACAGCTTGCCCATATTAAATAGAATCAATATGACACTTAGAATAAGCTGTAAATAAACAAATCGCTGAAAGCGTCACACTTCCAGATGATTTTAACCCAAAAGTCTGGACCTGCGTTCAGTCTATGTTAGCGCGGTGTTTTAAAAGAAGGGCCTCTTGTAACACAGGAAACTCGACCCAGCTCTCAGCAAGCCATTAATCTGACTACAGGTAAAATCTGTGTGAGACACTGAGTATTAATTTTTATCTTAATTTTCCACTTTGCTCGTTTAACCGATCAGGTCATTAATGCCGTTGTCATAACGACACACCATGTGACCTTGGGCGTTCGCCCTTTGCTTTGGTTTCAGGTGAGCAGCAAAGACGAGGACTTCCTGGATCTGTCTGTGGATGTGGAGCAGAACACGTCGATCACGCACTGTCTCAGGTACGCCGAATTTATTAGCGATCAATAAATAAATAAAAGAACGATTAAAGGATGCTGGCTGATCTTAGTGACGGCGTTTGTTTCTGCTCATCAGGGGCTTCAGTAACACAGAGACGTTATGCAGTGAATACAAGTATTATTGCGAGCAGTGTCGCAGCAAACAGGAAGCCCAGAAAAGGTGAGTGACATCATCATCACGTGACTTTTCTGATTTTCTTTCATCACCTTTTGTTTTTGCTGCCTTTAAACCAGCTCTGTTACTTGACCTTCAGATAGCACACAGAGCTCTTACCAGGGAACTCTTTCACAAAGGCTTTTCCCCCTGATTGTTAAGTGCATACATTTCATGCTGTAGGATCTGCTGGTCTCAGCAGGTTTTCAGATGGTGCAGAGAAGCTAATGTAAACAATGAAATCCAGTATGAAAAGGTCTCTGACGGGCCCTAAATTAAAAACAAGTGCCAAAAATGTGTTTCTTTACTTTATTGTGAAGTAAATGAACGTTGATGGCATTTCTGATGATGCAGGATGAAAATACTGAACGTTTCGTCAGCTATTGCTGCTCACAGGCTGCAGCATTTCCGAATGTAAGTAACTGCAGGGCTTTTTACATCCTTTATCAATGAGCCGCTGCCATAGACGGCATGCTGCCCACGTCGAAGTCTGAACTGTTACCATCAGGTGCCAGCAGCAGCATTACAGTAAAATATTAGTGGCACAGCATTATTTCCAGTGACAAAAGCATAACTTTTAACCACCTGCTTTTCCACCGTATAACCGCGTCAGCTATTTCCAGCCACCGTTTGCGCTTCATGTCATGTGGAGCACGGCTAGCGAGCGTGTCAGCGATGCACTCAAGAGAGTGTGTGTGTGGGCTTGTGTCGTTGTCGTGCAAAAATCCTACTTGCTTTTTTTTTGCAGATTATGATTGTGACAGGCACTCTGGTCACTGCGAGCAGTCATTATGCAGTTCTGTGTGTGTGTGCGTGTGCGCGCGTGCGTGTGCGCGCGTGCGCGTGTGTGTGTGTGTGTGTGTAAGCATATCCAAGATTTCGCTGTAATTTTTTTCCTTCTGTTTTTGTACACAACCTGTGGCGACTCAAGTACATAAAGCATTTTGTTGACATGGAAAACTCTCGCTGAGGTGGTCGAGTCGGACAGAAAATCATAATTGCAGCTTTTGAAACGCCACGCATTTGTTGAACTTTTAAGAAAAGCTACGTTTGTCACTCATTACTAGACTTTCCATCTTGGCTAAGCTCTGAAATAAACCCAGCACTGATGATAAAGCGGCCTCACAAGCTCACGTATCAAACATGGTGCAGTTATAGGGTTAAAGAAGAGATAAAAGCACATCTCTAGAAACCACAAAACCAACTTGTTCAAATGTAATTGATGTTGGGAGCCATAACTGCAGTTAAATTTACATTTTAATTAGTTATATATTCTTAGTGGTGGTAGAAGCACCTTCAGGCATAATCGGAAGCTCTTGGGGGCATGCTTGAGGTTTTGTTACACGTAAAATTGAAACGTATCAGACGGTCTTTAACCCTCTCCAGGCAGGCGTTGCCAATTTGCAACAGTTAAAAACTAACAACCTGATTACCCCACATACATATTTTATGATTTTTTTTTTTTTTTACTCAGAAGTACCACTGCAGGACTAGGTTGTGCATTAGCAACAAAAAGTTTTGTTTGAGCCTGAGAGGGTTAAATAAACTGTAATTTGTTCAGTAAAAATCTAAGACGAGTCACTTTCTTGTTTTTATTCCATCAGAGTTCCATCAGTCTATCATCGCTGAAGCATGAGCTCGTGCATTTTATCAGCTGACTCTGTTCAGAGCAGCTGCTGTGTCGCTGCATGATGACCAAACACTGGTTTTCCATGAATACTGATGTTTGAGTTTTGATAAACCCGGCGCTGACGGTGCCGGGCTGTAGTGCTTTGCAGACTGTAGGAGCGGTTATCACAGCCTGTAACTGTCACACAGCTGTAAGTGCAGTACAACCACTTGAAAGTTTCTCTGAGTGGACAAATTTGTTCCATTAGACGGTACCCTACAAACCACATCTGATGTTGCTATAGCAACCATTGCCTTCCTGTTACATTCTGAGAAGTTCGTCATGGGCGTCAGTCTAATGCGAAGTCTATTATTAACTACTGAACAGCAGCTGGATGTCCTTCTGTCAGTGTTGCCCTTTGATATGAGTTTCTTTTTGTCTTCTTCTCTGCTCGCGATGGCGTCCGTCATACGGCGCCACGTTTTGTTTTTTTTGTTTTGTTTTTTTAAATACGTACCATCAAATGTTCTTGAGAGTGCACCAAGCACCATCCATTAGCTTGAAAGGCCCATGCCGACACCAGCGTCTGCAGCGTGCAGAGCAGCACAAACGAAAAAGGTTCTCCCAAATTAGGGGGAGGAACACAAAACGTGCTCCTCGTTCCTGACAGGAGGTCTGTGGACTGGCGTGGAAAGCTTTCAGCCTCTCGGTTTTTGTTGGGGAAAGATCGATCGTACTGCGCGCCTTTTTTGTGTTTCTGCTTTTTGTAATTTCGAAATGAAAAGGTTCTTTTTATTTTTTTTTTTTTTTTCATCCAACAATTCAGTCTTCAAAGATAAAGATTTTTCTGCTCTGAAATAAATATATTTTAAATCAATATTTCTCTCATCTCTCTCACTCAGGATGAGGGTAAAGAAGCTACCCATGATCCTCGCCCTCCACCTAAAGCGCTTTAAATACATGGACCAGCTGCACCGCTACACCAAACTGTCCTATCGCGTTGTCTTCCCCCTGGAGCTCCGCCTCTTCAACACGTCTGGGGACGCAACCAACCCGGATCGTTTGTACGACCTGGTGGCTGTCGTCGTGCACTGTGGCAGGTAGAGTTTATAGTTTTATTTCACTTTAAATTTTTTGTCTTGAACTTGATGTGAATGTTTGCAGCTGCATGAGTGGAAGACGTGCAGTAGAGCACAAACTAGTCTAGTTTGTGTTGTATGGTTAAAAATGAGCAGATCAAGCTTGTAAACAGTCTTGTTGAAATGAGTCATTTAGTCTTCATAACAGTCCGAGGAGCAGACATTGTTCACATTATATGAGAGTAATTTGCTGAATGATTATAAAACCATTTAATACTTATAGAAACACTTAAAACTCTGATATTGCATATAAATAGCACCCCTCCCCCAACCAATTTAGATTGATCAATTAACTAACCAACTAACTGCATGTCTTTGGGAGTACCTGGGGAGAACCCACGCATACATGGGGAGAACATGCAAAATCCACACAGAAAGACCTCAGCCTGGACTCAGGACCTTCCTGCTGTGCGGCAACGGTGTTAACCACCGTGCAGTTCATTACGCCAAATTTTAAAAGACCGAGATGTCGACCATGGAAACGGTCACCTCAAGGCTTCAAAACACGACTTCAAACACTGATGGATGTCATTATGGTAGCTGTGGTGTGGTCAATCACGTTAAATGCACTTGGTAGTATTACGGTAGTGTCAGATGTTACAATGTAAAACATTTATAATTTGTACTACCCACATCAGCTTTATCGACTGTATGTACCTGATCTAATGTGTTGAGGCTTGGGTTTTCTGTTAACAGCAAAATTTAATTAACACTTCACCTCCAGGGGGCAGCATATCAGTAGATGTTTTCACATAACACACTGCTATTTAATTTGAGATATTCTTTCTCTCAAGAAGCTTTACTTTATGCTTTAAGCTGCCACTGTGCATAAAAATCAGCTACCTGGTTAAATAAAGGTAACTTTAGGTAACCAAGTAACTCATTGCGCCATCTTGTGGTTGAAATTGGCGTTGCCCCAAAGTCCAGCCTAGTTGATCTTCAGTCGATATCTTTGCAACACAGTACACAGATATTTTTGTGTTGAGTCACAGCTGCTGTTTACTCACATTTTTATGATGGTTTTAATTGACTTTGGAGTTTTTTAACAGTTTTAAATTTTACAGAAAGTTCTTTTAAACCTTCAATTATGCACTAAATAAAAGGATATGGAAATATGTTTGGAAACATCTGGTTTTAAGTAATTTGTCTCTTGATTCTGTTTCAGAGGACAGAGGGAATATTCCTAAAGTTATTCGTTTTTTTTTTTTTTAAATTAGAAAAATACTTTGCTCATTAACTCATTCATCAGATATTTATTGGATAAAGATATAAAGAGGAAAGAAGTCCATGTGTCCCTGTAAACACTGCATTGCTGCGGTTCGCCTCGGGCCGCTCGTTGTTTGAATCGGTGTCCATTGGCTCGCTAAGTCCGGTCGGCCGATGAGTTGACGTCAGCTGATGTGTAAGCGAGCATGTGCGAGTCATTAGTCACTCGACTATGTTCCTCCTGCAGATGAGATGTAATCTAACACCGGAGCTTTCCTCAGGAGGACAGACGTCCTGGATAAACACAAAGACTGTCTCGTGCTGTGCTGCGTGTGGATGTGAACATCTTTCTAACAGCAGCGTCGGTTCATCACCAATGTTTTGGTCTCTTTTGACAACGTGAAACAACAAAAAACAGCAAAACATTTTCACAATAAATGATTTTTTTCCCCCAGTTTTTAAAAAATAATCCATCTCTGACTTTGCGAAGAAGAAGAAGAAGAATTTCTTTAAAATTTATAGTATTTATAGGATGAGGAGTTTATGTAGGAGTAGGTAATAATGTTCTTAGACTACACATTTTTCAAATCAGAGAGCTCATTCTCTTGACAATACTTAGTCAACAGGTAATACTATAGTTTTAAATAGATCTAATTTTCTCTGTTATTTCTTTATTATCAGTTTGATCTGAAGGTCAATCTATTGACCTTGAAGGAGAGGTCAGAGGTCAAATGTTGCATTTTGTTTTTTTTTAAATGTTGACAAAAAAACAGCACACTTACAAGTTATCAGGCTTTTTGTCAGTTTGCCACCAATAAATCATTAAGAAGACTTTACTGGATGTAAGCCGAATTGTAATGGGTTGTTAACATAACCCTGCTCGACACCCCCACAAAGTTTTATCAGAATTCATTCAAAACTTTTCCAGCTGTCGTGTTTAACACAGAATGACCCACAAACACTACCAAAAACAAAACCACGCTGGCAGTAAGGATGATGAGAGTCATCATGACTCTGCTGTATTATTTCTTAATGCGTCTCTGTGTCTGTGCCCTGCAGCGGTCCAAACCGCGGACACTACATCACCATCGTCAAGAGCCACGGCTTCTGGCTGCTGTTTGACGACGACATCGTAGAGGTGAGAAGCGATCTTCTGCATTTTACAGGAAATCAGACGTCTATAAGTAGTTTTCTCTTTTTTTTGTGCTGTTACAGTGGCAGATGCTCACATTAAGCATAGCCAATAAAACTGCAGAGCTGGAAATGATCATAATGAGTCTAACAGACCCCCTTAAAAAGACCAGATCGGTTTAAAGGTGGTAAAACAAGTGTGAACTGTTTAAATTGAGCATCAGCGTTTCAGCTCACATCAGACTGAGCACCGACTGAAAGATTAAAATTCCCATCTCCACATAAGCTTCCCATCTAATCCAAAACCAGACAGGAATTCCAGGCTCACAGTCTATCCTGGCTCTCCCGAATGTTTTGTCTGGACTTCCTGCAGCGGGCCGACCTGCATACCTGAGCCTGATGAGGAGCTGAAATTGGGTTTAGCGATGGGGATAAATGATGACGGGTGGATAAAAGTGTCCATTAAGGAAAAAAGATGAGAGATGAGAACATACCTGCTTTTATTGGACATTTATCTTTCTCCTTTCTCGCTCATGGTCACTGTGTACCTTCTCTTAATTGAATCATTACTCATCTCAGTCGTAGTATTATAAACTGAGATGACCTGGACTTTTTTTTACATTACAAATATGAGAGACTGCTTCTCTGTGTGCTCCAGCCCTCATTCCTCCTTTAATTTTCACCGTCTCTGAGCAGGTGGTGCAGACATAGAGGCTGAATATGCTTTTTTGTTATTTTGAACTTTTACACAGCAGCTAATGATTTCACTTCCTCCCCCTCCGATGAGTTTGGTTGTCATGAAGTTGCCGTTCTGCTGATTACCCGTGTGCTTCTGCTGCAAAACCATCTGCTTTCCTCTCTGATGTGGCGACAGCGGAGGGAAAACATGGCTGTCTACATAGTAACAACAGTCTGACATCCTTGGAGCGTGATAGTGCTCAGCCCCCGTTAAACGGTTTCCCAGCTCCACTCAGCACGCTGTCATCTCGGTAGCTGACATGTCAGCAAGGAAAAGACGCAGCACTTTAAAAACATTAAATAACATGGTGACACTTTGATGAACCATCAATCCAAACAGGGAGATCTGCCAGCATCTATATCCCTGCCATACAGGGAGTGCAGCTCTGCTAAGTTTGCAGTGTGAGCCGATGGCCTGCTGTAGCTCTTTAGCCACTGGCGGCCCGCCACATCACGCGGCCTAAGCTTCGGCGTGCTGCTGTGTTTCAGCGAAGTAACCTTTCAGTCTGATGTTTTTCTTTCTTGATGCCAGAGGGAAAGGTATGGCACAGCAATCAAACTATCAGCAGCTCGCTGGCTGTGCAGTCGTCACGATGAGGCGTTCCAGAGCTTGCTGACGTTTAGTCTGTAGTTAGTGGTAAATGAGACACTGATCTGCAGATGTACAGTCTCAGCCAGTGTTAGCGTCCTTCATTAATTCTCAAATAACCTACGTCAGGAGTAGTTATTTTTATTAACAGTGTTATTTACAAGGAAAAGGCTTATTTTGCTGCGTCCCTAGATGGGATAGGCTTTCTGTCGTGTTCGGAGCCTGCTTATGGGGGGAGAAAAAGAACTGCGTTTGCATTAGAAGTTGGTGAGAATGGTCTCTGCATATGTACTGTATTTTGTTTTTGTATGTAACTGTATTCTGTTACAGTTAGCGTTTAAAGAGGTGGTATTTAGAATACAGTTACTTTGAAATAAAGGGATTACACAGCAGTCTTTTCCTGTTTCATATATTAGGCTATGCCCTTTCAGCAGAAATATTTCTGCTGAGAAATATTTTTAAAAATTATTGTTCAGAAAATGATTTAATATGAATGCAGTAGGCAGAGTGTTACAGGCATCGCCCTAAAGAATGTAGCCTCATGGGCAGCGCAGTCCGGTTGTAAGTAAGCTATTAAGACTCGACTGTACACCGTGTTCGTGTTTTCCTCCAAAAACAATAAGTCCCGTTGGAGCAGCCTTTCAACGCCTCTCTCTGTCTCTCGCTAGCAAACTTGACCCAGACAACAAAGTAAAGCTAGTTTTTGGCTACGAGCCCGACATGAACCCGACGTATTAGCCAGAGGTCCCTTTGCTACTGTTCGGAGCCGCGGACCTGTTTTATATACGCGCAATAGTTTTCTATACGAGGTCGCTGCAAAAAGTGCAGCCTTACCTAATGTCCACCCTACTGTTACTCATTAATATCTATTATCTATTAGTATTTAAAACTCTAGTTGGTATTGGTATGGCGAGTAACCTTCAATCCAAAGTATTCAGAATGCGTTACTCTCATTGAGTAACGGAATACGTTACAAAAAAAATTTTGGGGCATGTAATCTGTAGTGGAATAAGTTTTAAAAGTAACCTTCCCAACACTGTACATCCGTTCCAACTGGATGCTGAATGAACTGGTTCGCGTTAGCCGTTGCAAGACTTTTCTATACAGTTGGATAAGAATAACTGACAGTATTGTACGGTGGCTCTGAGAGTTCACATGCACTGCAGCTTAACAAAACACCTACAAATAGAAAAATGCTGCAAAATTACACAAAACACAAGGAAAGTTGGATAAAACACAACAGCATATATAAAAATATATATTTTATATAATATTTTTTTTAAACTGTTATGTTTGTTGGGTTGACCTACAGCGATGACTTAAAGCCACAAAACTAACTGCAGTTTGTCCTTATTTTTTTTTTTAATAGTGTGTGTGTGTGTGTGTGTGTGTGTTTTTAACTTTACCATTTTACAGATTTGTGTAGTTTTCTGTAGCTTCAAGCAGCTTTTTGTTGATATACTCACATCCATGTTGTATCACAGTTAATTAGCATAATCGGAGGGAAAAAGTATAAAGTTCTAGTTGTATATAATCATCTGTTTTAAGCTGCTCAGCCTTACTGCCTTATACTAAAGGGGTGATAGAAAAAGACAGAAAACGAGGCATGTAAAACACATCTACAGTCGGGGTGCACTTTGAGGTGAAACAGTTTAATGCAGTCCAGGACACCTGTGCCTCCAAAATATTCATTTTTATGATGCTTGTAATGTTTGGTTTTTCCTTATATAGTCACACAGGCTTTGATTTGGTTATATTATAGCACGAGAGGTCACAGCTAGTGTTTTAGAAAATACTTTCAAGCATTTGGAGGTCATTTTGAACACATGTGCTCCTCTCTGTGCATTCGCAGTAGCAGTTCAGCCAAATCAAATATCTAACGTACACGTTATTTTCCCAGTTAGAATGGTTTATTTTGCTTTAAATCTCCTCGGCAGTAGGAGACATCACCCTGCTGTTTGCAGGAAAGAGCTCAGTCAGTCATCAGGGACTGATGGTTAAAACTGATATAAACTCCACAGTATTTTTCCACTACAGCGGGACTTTGGCCCGCTCAGACATCTGGTCTGGAAGATTCTGCTGAGTCTGCAGAGAAGAAAGATTAACTTATTTTTTATGGTTTGTGGAGATTTACTCTGCATGCTTCTCTCTGTTTTATATTTTAGCTTGAACTCTTTTTCTGATAAGTTATTTTGATCCCTTTTGGCTGCTTGTTTCTGCCATTTGCCTGTTTCCTCGTGGAACTCAAACTTATTTAGTTTTCTACAATTATGACGCCGATATCTTTCACTCCAAAAGTGCAGCTTTTGTTTTCTAGCTCCCATAACTTTACTTAACCCAGAAAACTGCTGGATTGAATAGGAGCCAGACAATATTCATCAATTATCAATATAAGCAAGACTAGATGTGCTTATAATAGGGTATGTTTCAACCACGGTGGAAAATGTAAAACGAATTTTCAGAGACGACATCCAATAACAAAAGATGTAAAAACCCCTAGAAAAGCTTAAGGGACATTCAGAAAACAAGATAAAATGAAGATAAAACGGTACAATAAAATAAATAAATGGTAATTTATTTATTCATTTTGAGAATTGTGCACACAAAACCTTCCATATAAACATATTGTTTCTTCGTTCCTTATTTATGCACACATTTACTAAAATGGCGCAAGTAAATTGATCATTTTAAACCGCACTTTATTAATTCTCACATTTTATGACTGGATCCTCGTAGAAACTCTTCTTCCCACTTGTGCATCTTTGCAGATATTTGGATAGTTAGTTTGAAGCCTCTGTCCAAATGAATGAGGAGAGATGCCCTAAAAATCATGGTCAGAAAATGCAAGAAACTGTCATTCAAATGATTTTTTATTTTTTATTTTTTTTAAATGCCTAAAATTAGGTAACTTTGCAGAATAAGTTTCGTAAATCTTTTTTTTCCTTTCTTTTTTGTAAGATATATATATATTTTTAAAACTGATATATGACATTGCATTTTCATTTTACGGGGCCGTTGGAATAATTGACGAAGACACATTTCTTGTGCTAAGTTTAATAGACTACAGCTGAGTTTGATTCAGCTTACTAAAATATAAAGTATCAAAGTTTTAACCGGCGAGAGTTACAGCGTCTCATTTGTCCATGTGTATACTCTTGTTTCATCATGGTTTCGGTCCTCTTGTATAAGTTTTTATTCAGTTATTGTCTTTTGTTTATGGGGGGGGTGTGTTGGAAACCTATTGGCCAGTGAAGTTAACACTGCTTTGAAAGCAAAAACAAGGAGAACCAGATCCAGGTTATTACTGTATCCTGATACGGGTTCTAACCTCTGTTGTCGTCTTCTCTCGTAGAAAATTGACGCGCAGGCGATCGAGGAGTTCTACGGTCTGACCTCGGACATTTCCAAGAACTCTGAGTCAGGATACATCCTGTTCTACCAGTCGAGAGACTGAACCAAGGCGGTCGTAAGTCCCCAACAGACTGTCACTCAACAGAGGGGGGAGGGGCTTATGGCAGCCACCTGCTCCGCCCTCACTTAAGTATCCAGGCTAATTTCCTGTAGGCGGAGCTACACTGGAGTGCCACTCGGGACGGGTTGAGATGTGTGCGGCAGGTCTTGTTACAGCCTTCTGGATTACCGTTCAAATCCTCTGTGTCCACACTGCTGCAGCAGAGCACCTTAAAAATATATTTTAAAAAAACATCCACTAGAACCCCCCCACTCCCCCACCCCCGGCAGATTCCACAACACTCGCTTTGCACTGTGGGCAGACTGACCAATCCAAGAGGCTGACATGTGGAGGACGAGCAGGAGAAGATGATGCGGCACAACCAGCTGTTTTGGATGCAACTGGTGTCGGGGGGTTAAGGTCCGAGTCGGCCCTTTTTGTGGCTTGTTGCACTGACACGCAACTCCCCCAAAGATTCCTTTAACGTCCCACCTGTCACAGCAAAACCACTGACACTACCTGTAGTGAGTGAACGGCTTGAATGTGAGCGCGGCGCTTGGATGATAGTTTGCGGTGTTTTGTATAGTGAAGTTTTGCCAATCGCGTCCTGCGCAGTGTTACAGGCGATGGTTGAAATGGAAACCAGCCACCAGGGAGGTGCTGATGGAGCTGAAATGTTCCCCACACTCATGAGTAAGGCTCTTTGTTTAAGGTTTAAAATTCTTAACTACAAAAATAAAGAGAAAAAAGTGAAACCTGTTGACCAAAAGTACAATTTGCAGCTTAAATAATTTTTTTAAACAACTCTGTTTAAAGAAAAGAATACTTTGCCACATGTTATATTTTTTAATCCAATCCTTTGGATCACCAACAGTCCTGGTCTAGATTCCAGAGCGTCTAGAGTGTCTAAAGCCACTCGTGGTGCCACAGTGGGGGAGGGAAAAGAGCTCAAAGGAAGTATTTCAACAGCATAAGCTAATTTTTAAAATGCCAGCTTCTCATGGTTTTGACAGCAAGCACACGCTCCTTTGCTCTCGAGGATGTGTTGTTGTAACATGTCTGACTTTTTTAAAGATGCCACAATATGCACATTTGTACTTTTTCTTTTTCTTTTTAAAGGGACGCACTATGAGACTAGTGCTTTTTTTTTTTCCTTTAAGTCAGCTCTGATATCCACTTTACACACTACACGACACGCAGTGTCGAAGTTTGTCGAGTTTGTCTCATGTGCTTATGGATGCCTCTCTGCGCACACACGCCTTTACCCTTCTACAGCTGGTTCATCTCGCAGTTTCAGCCACGCCAATTTTGACTCTGGCTTAAGTGTTTTTCGTGCAGCTGCAGCTCTGGCAGGCAGTCAGGTTTTTACATAACACGTTTTCCACTCCAGAATCGTAAATTGCAGCCTTTGGTAACGCTGAGTGATGCTAAAGGTCTGCGGATGTGATCCGCTGATGCTCGGCTACACGGTTTATTTTATTGCAGTAAGACCGTCTCTTTCGCATGTTTGTCTCGGCCGCTTTTAAATGGCTTCCCCTCCTCAGCATCAACAGCAGCTTCAGATTTAGGGGCGAAGCATCCTGGGAGATGAGCTGCATCGTGGTTATCTTACTGTTTCTGAAATGCTCATTAAATTGCAGCCTGGGCTAAATTGAGTTACTTGAATTTTAGCGCTACTCTGGGCAGCTGATTGAAGCTAATTAATCAGCTGAGCGTTTAGTGATTCCAGTAAGTAGTGCTTCAAGTGATCACATATAACTGGATAATTTTGGGCAGGATTTCTTCTTCCTTAGTTAAAAAAGAAAAAAGTAAAACTTGCATATGTAGGTAGGTTAGACAAAAAATGATTAACTGCAGTCTTCCTTTAGAGGGGTAAAAGTGGGTTACATAGTAAAATTCACGAATATAACCACGATTTATGTTTACTTTCTCTCTTCTAATTTCAGATGATATTACAGATGAATGTGTTTGTGTGGGTTCTCGGTGATGTTGGTCTTCTCAGCTTTAAGGAAGAAACTGCACTTATTCATGTCTAAAAACAACAACTACTTCCAAAGGGTCGACCCCCCATTAGGGGTTAGAAACCTGAGAGACACCGTTTGCATTTAGAACTTTTTCAAGCTCTCTTTACTACAGATTCATCTTAAAACTGCTGACGGGCTCTGCTGCCGTCTTAGTGGTGCTGAATTCCGATTGGCAAGGCTTCAGTCACACAGGCCTACAGACAGGTCGGTGATTATCTGGTGACCAAAAGTTTATCCTCCAACCAGTTGGCAAGTGGTTGCTTGCTTTTGCCAGAGTACTGCATCCAAAACTTGTGGTCGCTTTATCGATATTTGACTTTAAAGGTCTCGGGTTTCCAGTTTGCGTCACACATTTTGCAGTTGCTGTCGAGTATTTTGAGTCCTTTATGCAAATTACCGGTCACCATGGCAACCTGCTAGCAACCAAAGAAATCGCAAAGGGGCATTCGGTTCAGCGCCGTATACCTCTTTGGGACCAGCTCCATGCTAGCTACTGAGAGCAAACAACTTGCCAGCCCATCTAGGAACATACAATTTTCCCTAGCAACCAGTGGTTGCCAAATGCCGCCAGCTGGTCTCTAGGGCTGTGTGTCCAGTACAGTCACAGCACACAGAAGTGGGGTTTTTTTTCGGGGTTTTTTTTCTTTCTTGTCCTTAAAATGTCTGGAAGTCCAGCGTCACATCTTCCAGTTGCTTCCAAATAAAACTTTCAGAATTTAAGATTTTAAGGGTCACAACATGTTTGACATATTTTCTTGCATACCTGACTGCGTGTTTGAACTCAGGTCTTCAAATTACTGCGTTTCTCTAGTATGATGAAGACCAAATATTTAAAGATCTTAAACTTGCCAACTTTGAGAAACAGAATTAAAACTTACAAACAGGGTTTGATTGAGTTGATCTGAGGAGAAGCAGAAGCCTTTTTAAAGCCTTGGTCTCGCTTTCCAGCTGTGGGTTAACCCTTTCCGCCTCCGTTATTTTCTTATTAATTGCACAAACCAAATATAGTTACCTTTTTTTTTTTTTTTTACCCAATTTTAGTTATTTTGTTGTATAGTTTACACTCCCGAGCTGATAAGCCTCCATGCTATCACTCCTTCGTAACAGAGCTGCAGCAGATGCAAAGCGGATTTGGGGAAAAAAAGCTCTATGCAGCCTTTAAGGTGTTTATATTACATAGCTGTTGAGTTTTGAATGTTAACATGTACAGTCAAATAAAAAAAAAAATAAAAAAATAGGGCTGCTGCTTGACCTGTGACATGTGGATTTTGGGTGCATCGCAATACGGTGAAGTCGCTGTCTCCGCTTTTAAAACTGAAAAGCACTTTTAAATATTTGTCAGAAAACTTGTCATTTTGTCCTTCAATCGTGCAATTTAGTGAAAGTAACAGCATTCATGCTTGTGGCTGTACAGTGTTTTCACTTTACCACAACCTGGCACAAAGTCCTGACTCCCAGAGGTAAAAAGTAAACAAATGTAAGGGAATTCAGGTTGAGTCTTGAAGGCGTATCACATCCCCCCAAATACTGCAGAGTAATTTTCATTTCTTCAGAGAGTGATTTAAGTGCTCTGAAAAGTGACACTTTTTTATCATCATTCAGGTTTTATGTCCGTAGCACAGAGCAGCCAAAATATGTTACAAAATAATGTGAGCTTGTGGATTTCGCTCTCTTTGTTGCATAAGCCTTTCTCTTAGTTCTGCCAGCATGAGAAAGTTTAAAGTTGGACGTCGTGCAGCCAGAGCCCTGGCCTTAACCTGCTTTTTCCAACGCATTCTCATCCAGATGCATCCGTTACACACCAGGTGTCCTCTAGCTTTGGTGCTCTAATGCTATAATGGCCGTGTTGAACACAAATACAGTGCTAATGAGGAGACTGAAGGAGGAGACCCTGTTTTTCACCCAATATGGACCTTTGTTGCACACTGGTTAGGTTTAGGTGAGATTTAGCCTGTCTAGTTTGCATAAAGTTGCTTTCAGCAGCGCCTATATTGTATTTCCTCAGTATAAAGCTGACGTGTGTCTGTTAGCTCCGGATGTTGCAGAATCCTGCAAAATATGGGTTATCCAACCGATCAAGTTATCTTGGTTTCAAGGTAATAGCAATATGACCAATCTAGATCGGGTGGGCAAAGTTAAATCACTGTCAGCCTCTTCCAAAGTCATTCTGTCCATTTATGTTACATAAAACTACAACTACAAATAGTTTAACTCAACAAATACCTCATTTGGCTCAAAGTTCTCAAATCTGCGTAAACGACTGGGAGGAGATCGAGCGACTTCCTTGACGATGCATCCGAAGCACTTCACTCAATGAGTCGAAGGTTCAAAGTCAACACTATTTCTCTTTCACGTCTGTGCTGCTCTTTAACTAATCAACTTAAAGGAAGTAATCTACATTAAAGGAAAGTGTTGCGCAATTTTTATGTTTCGTTTTTTCTTGGGGGCTTAGTAGTTTTATAACTTTCGGACATCTGAAGAAAGTCGTTTTTGGCTGCAAATGACTTGAAACACCAACAGAATCTGTGGACTCTTTAAGTTGCGTTCATACATACCAAATGATGTTTATATTGTTTTTATTCCTTTTCTTTTTTTTTTTTAAATAAACAAAGTGTAGGTGTACTCAAGATGTAAATAAACACAGTCAAGCACAAAAGCACATTATTAGGGAGATGGAAGTCCACAGATTCAGCTGGAAGCCTTTCTTTTTATTTTAAATATGAGAACCAGAATTCATTGAAACAATGTGTTGGATGCTTATGTTGAAGCAGGGCTCTTTTTATTTAAATATTATTATTATTATTATTATTATTATGAATGTCCATGTTAACGTTTTTTCCTTTGATGTTCTGCATTGTTTTTATTTTTATGTATTTTACTAATTTTGATTGTCTGCTGAGGCAGCTCTGGAAATCTGAGGATTTATTTTGATCTAATTTGGGGAGTGTGAAGTGAGAGATGTGTACATAAATACAGATGTTATTATTGGAATATAAATAATTGCTTGCTTGGAATAATCAACAAATCTAGATCGAGAATATTAGTGTACGTTATCTCTCAAAGATACCTTTCTTATGGTTGATATCTTCAATCTGCCTGGTGCTTTAAAAATTGCAAACCCCACCCATCTGGCACACCGGGCAGACCAAAACAAACAAACCCAAATATATGGAATGGTCACAATGGAGCTGTGAGTTTATTAACATACTCACGTTATAGACATTCTCTTATTAGATGTTGGTGTGCAAAAAAATACATGACTGTCCAAAACCTGATATGTGATCACAGTGTTAAAGGAAAAATCCACTTTAGGTTACATAAAGGATTAAAATAAATCAGCAGCTGGTGTTGGTGTTTGTTTCATTTTGTGTTGTCCTGATTGTGTTTGAGTTCTAATGATGAGCAATGTCTATAAGAACACAGAAAAACGACTATACTGGATTGAGAGAAACTGAGGGAGATGGTATATATTAGTATTGAGCTTCAAGTAGTTCCACTGCAAAGGTTTCACTATATTTAACTTTCACATTTATATGCTTGACAGCACTAATTTATAGATATTGCAGATGCCGTTATTATGTCTAATGCAAAAGTTCTCCACATCTTAGGTAATGTGGAGCTTTTTAGCTAAGATGCGGGAGTGGTTGCTGGAGTTTGCCGGCTGTCGATTGGTGAAATCAGTCACAAAGAGGTTATTACACCAAAAACCACTTTGTTATTGCGTTGGGTTTGGCAGATTGCCGTGGTTGCACAAAATATGGCCATCTATTTGCAATCACTAACTGGAAAAAGTGTGCAACCATTGTTCACCTTGAAAGTTAAAGCTGTGCCTTATGTCCTGAAACTGACATGTTTCCATAAGCAAATCCAGTCAACTTTGAAGATGACCATTCTCCGTTTCACTATCATTCTGCAAATAGTTGGCAAATGTTTGCAGACAAGTTGGCTTCTTCCATGGAAACCAAAACCAACCAAAGCATTTGCAAGAAGTAAAACACCTGTCAAAGTTTTGAAGAAATATCTTAAAAACTTGTATATTTATATTTAATAGGCAGAAAACAAACTGAATTCTTGTTTTTATACTCAAATTTACAGACACGTAAAAATACAGCAGCTGTGGCTTAACCCTTCCATTCGGTGGTAGTCGAATAAATTTGTTAAGCACTGTAAAATAAAATGTCATCAGCAAAGAGTGGAAACTTTGGAGCTACACCTTCAATTCCAAGAGTATTAAAATATTGTCAGAAGAAAAGAAGTGGAGAGACAGAGGCCAGTTTTTGCACCCTAAAATATAAAAAGTTCCTTTAGAGAAATATTTTCATCTGGTCATTTTTATTATTGCTTTTATTGTTTTATAGATTTTATTAATCTAAAATTAAGCATATACGTCAGCGAGTAACAGAAGGCAGCAGTCAAGCATCCCCTGTGTGCTTTTTGAACAGCATTATGGAAAATTGATGAAATCCAACAGCTTTTGTTGGTGTGGGGGAGGAGTCAGAAGCACCGACGGACAGCTGCAGGTGGATTTTTCCTTTAACAGTTGTCTCTTCAGAGCGTTTGGTCGTCCACATCACTCCCCTTTTCAGTCTTGCCAAATAAATGTGTTTAACCCAGTATGTGACGGACATACAGTGACTGAATGCATCATTAACACTCCTCTAATGTTTTTAGTGTGCAAAGTAGCAGCAGCCTCACCGAGACCAACACTGTTAAAATGAAGGTCAGGTAAACAAAAGTAAGGGAATCTGCTTTTTAAATGGTTGCATATTTTTGTACCAGCTGAACACAGGAGGGTTTTTTGTTCATGCACAGTCTGCGACTACAGACTGATCTGAAGGACCAGTAACCAGGTTGTCCTCTCGGTGTTTGTATTTGTGGGGCTGCTGCTGTCTGACGTTCATTCTGAATCCGTGGAGATGCAGTGAAGTTTGGGAGTGACGGCTGGTTCTGATGGTGTCCAAACTGTTTGAAATAAAACAAACTGGTTTTGATGATAACTCAACTCTGCTCTCAGTCTCTTTCATTGAGAATGTTTGACTATAGCGTCTCGTTTTTTTTTAAACATACATGCAGAAAAGAGGAGGTAATGCAGCCGTGTGAAAAACATAATCACATCTTTGCTGGTTGAACAGAAATTAAGAGGGTAAGTAGCAGCTAGATGCTCGTAATCTAATGAGTTGGATCTTTTCAGGATGAGTAACTAAAATTGGTTAAGATGGCTCTTTGCTAAGTTGACTGTAATGAGTAGACACAGCAGTGGTCCATTAGGAGACCTTTCATGCTTCGTAGATCAGTGTAAAAGTGGCTTAATAAATAAATAAATGTATTACTCTGAAAATGGTCAGGTACAAGGACTGGACTGGAAATGGGTAACAAAGCAGGTCCAAAGAGAACTCTTAACAGACCTTCAGAAAGCCTGCGAACTGATGCCCAAGACCACTTTAAAAAAATTACAAGACAGTCTGGCTCCTTGGAAGCAAAAAATGCAGAAATGAGAGGTTGCTCGAGTGCTCTACAAGCGCTGTCCATATTTAAAGTCGATATAAATGGAGGATTCTGATGATGTGGTTATAAAAAAAAACTAAAAACGGATGCACAGTGAAAAACTTGAAAAATTAAAAAATAAATAAGTTCCACTGAAGTATTTAAGAAAAAGATGCTTGAAAGGTTAAAGGGACTATTTCTTTTTAAAAAAGCTTTTGCTGTAGAAGCTCAGAAAACAACCATTTACCTGCAATCAGTTGTTTGTGCCAGTCTACCGTGACTGTCGTCATTCCTGCCAAAATATTAGGCACATTTTGATTGAACTGCAGTTTGTTTAATATTTGTACTTGTTGCTGTACAAAATTAACGTCCTGAGACTTGAGGTTGTTTGTTGCCTGCTTGAGAGGCATATTTGTCCTCTCTCTATTTGGACAGTTGGACCTGGTACATGTAAAGAAAAAAAGTGTCCTAATATGAGGGGATTGGGTTTATTTTGCAGCGTAGCACAATAAAGTCAGTATTGTATAACACTGTTTTAGAAAAAGGTGCAGAAACCCTAAAACATCTGAAAACGGTGTGAATATAAATTATTTCACATTTTAAACCCTTCCCCCCCTTTTATAACTTAAAAAACCCACAAAAACTTAAGCTTCCCTCTCTGGGTTAAAGCCCATAGCTCATCTTCACTCAGCTGCCACAACCAGCAATTTCTGCAACCTCAGTTTTCCTGAAAGTTTGCTTCAAGTTAAGGAGCCGTGAGCCAGAAAAGCAGAGAACCGCTACTTCAAGTTAACACAGCATCGGCAGACAGCTGGATGGTCCAGGATCCACAGTGACGCAGTTTACAAACCTGATATTTTGTGCTGAAAGTCAAGTTATGCAAACATATAAAACTGAGGATACTGGTTGACTGCAGGCATTTCGTAAAAAAAAAAAAGAAGAGAGCTCTCCAGTTTTTAAATGGAAGCTGAAAAGCTTTCTGCCTGCCTATTCTGTGTGAGATCATCCACCCCTGGAGGCTTTTTTGTCTCCTGACATTATTGCACTTAAGATGCTTGTCCCGATGCCAAAAGCATGACCGCACTCCAGCTCCGAGAAGCCGCTGAAGCGGCGCACTGACTCAGTGCGTTTATCCCACTCCTCTAGCTGCACCGTGAGCAGTAAACAATGACACAGGAGGCAATTTGACATTTAATTCTCTGCAGGTAGGTGGTACATTCTCAAACAGCAGGTTCACACAAACACTGATGGATTTTTACAACAATACAGAAAAAGAAATGCCTCGTTTCTTTTACAGGGACAGGGGGAAAAAAATGATACATTCACCTGCTGAGGGTGAAGGACGGAGTGCACAAGTCCAGAAATCAGAACCGGATACAAAAACGACAACAAAAATATATATCTTTGCACAACAAGTTGCTAGTTGTTTGGCACTATTCCCAAACCTATTTTGTTTGTCTGTACACTGAGTGTGCGCACAGACTGTAGGAAAAACCATGTATGTTGGCGATGTTAACGTTTGCAATGAATTGGCAAATATCGCCCTCTTGTGGTAAAAAGGGCAACAACACCTGTGAAATCTTGCTGAAGACGGATCTTTGTACTTTCCTGTTGGTTTAATGAATTTTGACACATCATAATAACCTTTAAAGCAGGCATGGATGCATTTATACACGGGTTTGATGCAAGTCAGAATGTTTGTGTCCGAAAGATGTAGCATATATGGAAGCTTGTTTGTGACAGAAAAAAAACCCAACAAAAACATTTTTGTTAACCATATATCAACATTTTTAAACTTGATACTGAGTAAATGACTTGAAACACTGAAAACACTATTGTTTTTAGACGATAGAGTTAGTAGGTAGGGTTTGTGATGATAACCCAAAATTGTGAGATAGACACCTGGTGCCTTAAAGGAAGAAGTTCCACAAATGAATAAAATGTAACAATTAGCAATATAGCAATTATTGGTAAGCGAGGGTTATACTTTATTGACATATGGATGGCATTTTCTTTTATAGTGGCACAAACAAGCTTCCACAGACAAGTTTGAAGGGCTGCTTCTCCTCTCTGATCGAATATATAAGAAAAGCAGCTTTTACTGGGCCGCTCAGTGCATCACATTATGTTGGTATTAAGAGGAGATGTTAGGACTTGGTTGGGAACACATCTCTGTACTGATATGATGTGACATATGGAGGTACAGTAATGTTAAATCTGGTTTACAAAAAATACAGTATACCAAAAGTTGGTGAATTCTGGATAGACTTCATTGCTATTTACAAGTGGGGAACTTAAAGTGACTCAATCTGTGAAAAGAACTGCTTACAACTCAAAGGCAACACAACTTGTAGTGATTACAAGTAAACTTTCATTATATAAAAGAAACTTCTGATCAGTCCACCAGCGTTGGCTCCATTTTCAACCTTTTGACTTCCATATTACCAAACTGGTGTGAGTGTGATGTGCTGCTGATAATAGCAGGAGTCCCTCTGAGCTGCTTTAAAATACAAAAAAGAAAACCTTCTTAGATTTTAGATGTCATACTGTTAAAGTAGCCAACGTTTCAGACACCAAGGCCAACGAATCAAATGTATAATTAGTATGTAAAAATAATCCCTGAAAAAACCCCAGCTAATCAGCCTTGGATCAGTATGACATCAGTGAGGGTTGATACTCACCTCAGGCACACCTGCCTTATGGTTCAGTCATACTAACAGGAATGGAAACCTCTCACTGGCTGCCAGACGATTGCATCTTTTTTTTGCTGTCAATTGCAGGAAGTTGCAGCAACCAAGTGGTCACCTAGAGGTTGGGCAATGAACATCCTCGACTTCAAATCAAACCCATTTGATTTCAAGGTTACTGCACAAAAAATTGGAGGCAACCTTCCTGACTGACTGGAAGAGGTTTGCAAATAAGTGCGGTTTTATTTATAAATGCAGATGGATTACATCTGGTTTCCAGCTGTATGTATTCTGGTTATATTCCTTTATAAAAGCCTGGTTGCTGAGCAACTATGTGATGTTGCAGTTAAATTGCTGTCCTGCAACAACTACGTCATTATTTGTGGAGGAATTTCTGCTTTAAATCTAAATCTTTGAGGTTCTGGCTGGACGCTGAATGTAAGTAGTTAATGTCAATTAGAATTTCTGCTTATATAGACAGCAACAGGTTTGCAATTTTCACGGATTTATTATAATTAGTTGCCATCTTATCACAAATCTCAACCCTAAACTGACAGCAGGCTGACTCCGCCTTATTGCCGCCTTGATGAGCTAACATTGCTTTGAAGACGGCAACTGACTGTGAGTGGTTGCAGACCTGGTCTTCATCTTTAAAGCAACATTTCAAAGGAAACAGATCCCAAGTGCATTGGACACAGTCCGGATGACACAGTCATGCCACATTCTCAAGATGGGGACTGAAAATACTTGTTTCAGACAGAAGATGATCTGCACGATTTGTAAAGCTACTCAAGCAGAATCTAGAATTAAAATATGGATGTGAAGTCAGAGAATAATAGACAGAGTTTACTGTTTTAAACTAAAGAAGACAATCTTTGGCTGACTCCACTCACACTGACACATTTACCATTAAAGCTGAAGTAGGCAGAAATAAAGAACAGTCCTCTCAAAATCAGGGGCTGTTTGTTTTAAGTCCGACCCAACAGAGTTCTTCTTAGAGCATAAAACATAAACCTGTGCTGAGCTTTGGCTTCATATTGGGTTTGAACCCCACTATCCCAGGTTAAAGTCTTCGGCATAGATCTTAATTTGTAGTCTTAAGAGCTTGAACAGAAGGTGACTGGACCATCGTGAACTGGACGACTGGGAACCTACACAGGCTTCTTAATTTATACTTAGCCTTACATACCGTAAGTGAGCGACACCAATGCCACTATTTCTATTTATTTGTGCTTAGCTTGCCTGTGCTGCTTAAAACACCACTCCTAGCGCGATTTGATGGCAATGATCAGGGTTTTTTTGTTGTTGTTTGGTTTTGCAAACACTCATGTTTGGCCAAAGTCCTGCACTTTACTTTCTAAAACCTGAAAACCCAGAGGGGGAACAGGCGTATGTAAGGGTTTTTTGTCTCCATTGATGGGAGAAACATCATTTAGGGCTGATTTATAGGTGAAAACCTTCTCGAAATGCCTTCTTTATGTACATTTTTTAGCTATTTAACCATTTTCAGGGGCACAGATTCAATGTGAAACATCCTAATTACATATTCAGGTATAATAATCGACATTTTAACCAAATTTACTGCAGATGCAATCACACTGAGCTTTTTGCCCTGCAGTGCTCATTGGGGAAACACACTTTGCAGGTGTTTGAGATCATTACTGAATGTTAAGCGGCTACATCACATTTGCAAAAGCAGCTTAGTGCAGGTTGCAGGAAAAAACAAACAAACGGAGTATGCCTGGTATGGTTTCTGTACACTGAGTGTCAGAAGATGCAGTTGTAGAAACAGGGTTTAAAATATGAATCCATCCTGTTTTTATTAGTGGATCCACCTTCAGGTAATCTCACTGATTTATTCTTCCTTCGTTTTTTTGTGTCTGAGAAGTTTGTGTCCTTCATTTCTTCTAGTTTTCATTCATACCCATGCTGAGTTCAAGAGGGGCCAAAAAACGTGGGAAATTCCAACTTCCAGCTTGGGAAACCCACAGCAGGACGGTTATGAGGTCAAGTGGGAATGTCAGGGAGAGACCTGTATTATTTACACCAGTAAGCGTCTCTTTAAGTGAATCTGGAACTTGACCGGTTGTTTCTCTCCTCTCCCTTCATCATACCATCGTCTCTGAGCCCGAACCTTTCCCGGTGAAGAAGTCCCAGAAATTAGTGGTCGGCGACGGCTTGCTCTCCTCCTGCGGCGTCTGCCTCACCCAGATGCTGTTCTCGGTCGAGCCGCTCAGACTCGAGCTCAGAGAGAAGCTCAGCGCGGCGCTCAGACCCGGGCCTCGACGGTCCTGGGCATCCGAGTCCTGAGCGTTGAGCCTGGGGGTGGAGGACGAGGACAAGGACGAGGAAGAGAAGGAGGACTGGGATAGGCTGAGCAGGTTGTGGTGGGAGTGGAACTGACGCATGTGGCGGATGGATTTACCAGGAGGGACCTCACCTGCAGAGAACAGGACACGGTTTCAGAACTTGAAAGACAAAAACTATTTATTATCTTAAAGTTGTGTAACATGAGTCATAGAGTGCTGTGAAAAGTATTTCCCCCCTTCCTTCCGGATTTCTTAAATGTTTCAGATTGCAAAGCAAATTTAAGATAGAACAGGTTAAAAACAACTTCTGTGTCAGCATCGCCCGCCGCCACTAGGGGGTGCTGTTGGCCCACTTATCATTCCCACAAACGTCCACAACCTCCAGCAGCCAGCGTGTGGTCTGTGTTACATTACACTGCCTTCAGAGAGGCTTTAACACATGGTGGTGAAACTGCAGAGCACTGTTTCAGGGTTTTCTAAAGACTCCTGTCTCAGGCAGGAAATTTACCTAAAAATCAACAACTGCTTGAAAAGACAAGTAAGCAGATGCTAAACTAACCAAGGATCACAGCTGAAAACCTCAAAACCTTGCGTTGTGGTATCGTTCCTGCTCCTGTCATTAATCGAAATGTTTTAAATGTTGATATTTTTTTGAAAGAAACAACTTTAAATGAGAAATTCCTTCAGGTCTTCAGAGCCTCACATTCACAAAAACTCAAGCAGACCATAGTACCGTATCTGGTGTCCTGCCGCTTCCTGTTCTGGTTCAGTTTGAGGACGTTCAGGAAGACCTCGCTGGTCAGGCTGCCATCACCGCCGCTCCCATCCGGGGGGAAAAGCGGTGACGGGGGCTCCAGTGGGGACAGGCTGCCGCTGGAGGCTCCCACTGAGTCCAGAGACGCCCCCGTGTCCCTGCGACCTGTGGACTCGCTGCCGCTCTCCACCGTCAGGTGACTGCCGCTGTGACAGAAAGACGGACGTTAAACGGAAGCTTTCTTAGTGCAAACGAACATAACCGACACCAGATCTGATGACGGCTGATCCACTGACTGTCACGGTTACCTGAGTTTCCTACGCAGCAGGTAGTCGATGATGTCCGGGTCGGTCTGGATCAGACTCATCAGGACCTCCTGCTGCAGCTCTGCAGAGACCTGCGGGAACACACATCAGATTCAAGCATCACTGAAAATAATTAGCATCTCCAGGACCGATGGAACATCACAGCTGTCTGGTGAGGGGGAGTCACACTGGGGGAAACGGGCAGAGTCAGTCGATCCTGGACAAACTTGGATGATAATAAGGGTGGCCAGGGTCGCCAGGGCATGAATATTTAGTCTGACACTTTGAAACCATGAGCACTAAGTATAAGCTCTCATTTCAGATTAACATAGTGTTAATGAGAGAGCCTCCTCTGCCCTGAGGGGCAGCCAATCAGAAGAAAGTGAACTTAGAGAAAAAAGCTGCTCTAGTAGAGTCCAAGAATAAACTCACCGAGTTGGAAATGAGCGTAACATAATAAAAGATTTCTGAATCACTTCCACAAATGACAAAAGAGCGCTGTGAGTTTCTAGTACCATGAAGAGTCTCCTGTGGTTCTGTATGAGCATCAGTGTGACGCTGATGATCGCCGTGCTGTCCTCGATGCCCATCACCTGCGGGCTCACGTCTCCCCCGCGCTCCTTCTGAAGCAGGTTCGGCCCGAAGATCACGGCCAGGTTAGCGGCCGTCATCTTGTTTCCGGGGATCTGGAGAGCAGAGGAAGAGGAGGCGGTGATGGAGGTCAAAGTGCAGATGGAATATGCTGTGGTAAATTAAGTTTGCGAAACGTGATCCTGTTGGATTTCTTTTTACATTACTGAGGACCAACAAGCAGCTGCAGCATAAATGTCAGGACAGCAATGAAGCAACAGAATATTCATGCAATGTATTTTTCTCCAGTATTTCACAAAAGCAAAACGGACAAATTGGACAGTTTTCCTGACTAAACATGCTTTTTCTGCATTTCATCTTGCTTGTCGACAGCTCCCAAAAGCATCTGGTAGAGGTGCAACTTACTGAGGGACTTAGCTTAAAAACTCTGTGTTCACAAAGGCCAGTTAGTCAGAAATGTTTGCATTTGTAATGTGCTATCAGCCAAGACCCTAACCCTCAGGACGACCACTAAGACAACATTAATAACATCTGCCAACCAAAAAAGAAGCTGAGGAATTATTCTGGCAGAGTTCTGACTCTCTCTCCACTAATTTTATGTCCTGGACAGCCAACAAAATCATTAACATGATTTTTCTTTAATAATATTATGGAGAAAATGCGGTACTGTGACAGCCAGAAACAACACAGCTAGCCTTCAAATTTAGCAATTTAAACAAAGTAGCCTGTGTTTGTGAGGAACCGTGAAACTGTGGAAGATTAGACTCTGAGACCCCGCCCACATCTAAATGATACCTTTAGGCAGTGGAAAATACTACGACTACTACTACTCATAATATTAAGGTAATACTTTATAATAATGCCACACTGGTAAGCATTAGTAAAGTATTACCAAGTGCTTAATTCACTGTACATGATAAGACTTTAAGATGTCATTGATAAATACAGATATGTGTATCCATCTGTTACTGTTACACCATGTACAGCTATGACTGTTACTTCATCACTGCCAGTAATACACATAATCATAATCACGATAAAATATCTGAATTTATAAATAGCATATGTGGGAGGAGTAATGCTATGTAAATGATGAAGTAAGCACTTGCTAATACCTTAATAATGTTTAATAGTGTGGCAATATCATAAAGTGCTACCAATAATAATAACAACATTTATGTGCATAATATTTATGAAACACACAAGAAATTTCAGTAGTTTAAAAATTAAAATCAGCGTTCCTCCAAAGAATAAATCACAAGCATAAAATCTGAATGTTAACATGGCGGTAAAATAAGAAGGTTAATGACACAGTCTAATATACAATGAGTTCCTCCACAACCAAGAACCCCCAACGACCACCTTCTGTCTTTGAACGTGGGAACAGTTACTGCACTGTGGTGCCAACTTTCTTTGTTTCTTTGCTCTGTTACGAGTGTTTTTTACTGGAAATGGATGGAATTCAATTAGGAAATGATATTATATTTATGTGCTTGAAGGACTGACACTGCCCTTCAGGGCGAATGCTTTCATTTTGTGTTTGTGTGGCTTCGACCTCGATGCCACTACTACGAGAGCTTCCAAAGGCTGAGGAAGACTTTATCAGTCATTGGTCCCACCTCCTCGTCGTTGGTTCCTATGCTGTCCTGTGCGAAGCTCTGCACGGTGTGTAACAAGGTGAGGAGGCGCAGCAGTGTGTCGCAGTTACAGGGAGGCAGCAGGTAGAGGAGGTGCTGGAGGTACTGCAGCTGGTCTGCTCCTCTCAGAACTGCAGGAGGCCCAGAGAGGAGGAAGAGGAGCAGGAAGTTAGTTACCCATCACATCACTAATTATACTGAGACAAAAACTGAACTCAATCATTAAAGCCGGTGTGTGTTTTTGTGTGTGTCTGTATGTGTGTATTGGGGGGGTGCATGCATACAATTGGCATGCAGGAAGGCGGGGTAGAGCTCTCTGGGCAGCAGAGGATCCGGCATGTCCCTCAGAAACTCTTTGAGCAGTGCTGCCACATCGTGGACGCTGTGCTCCTCATCCAGCTGGACGTCAACGCCCACGTCAAAGTCCTCCCGTAGCTGAGGAGCGCGCACGCAAACACATATTAGTGTTTAAAAACAACAACGACAGTGCCTTCAAACTCATGTTCGGGTCACGACGGGGCCACGGTTCCCCGATGGACACATTTCTCAAAAACAGGATCTCACACATCATCAGCTTTTCGCTCAAAGATTATTTTTGTATTCGTGCATCCAGCTTAGACCGACAGGAAACACACGACGGTGAATCAGGGGACATGCAGACCTACACCACTCCTCTACTGCTGGCAATAATCCACGTTTTTTTTTTCAGGGAAAATGTGAATGAACGAGTTTCTGTATATTTTTTCCAGTTTTTTTCCTCAGTTATCAGCACATCAGGAGGCGTTGGACCCCAAATAAACAACAACAAAAACTCAGAATATTAATGGTATATTATTAGTGGAAAATAAAAGTAATTTAAATTAATTTATTATTTTAATTAAATTAATTGGAATAATTATCCTAACCTGTCTCACTCTCTTCTTGGAGCTGCCGACTCGGAAGATACCCACAGTCTGAAGACCTGGAATACAAAATGTTATCACACACCATCTTTTAAAAATTTACATATGGATGGACTCAAATAAACAACACTGAAAGGCTGAAAATTTGGGGGACTTAAAGCCTCACCATAGGTCTCGATGTGACTGCAGCACCTCTCCAGCACCCGAGGCACCTGTCTGTAGATGGGGTTGAGGCTGAGCTTGGTTTGGGTCCTCCCCTCCGACGAGCTGCCACCCGGAGACTTGATCAATTCCAGTTCAGCCGGGTGGGAAAGCTGCAGCGCTTCAAGCAGGCGAGACTGACTCTCTACAAGGTCAGAGATCGAGTCCACTGATAGACCACCCTGTGGAGCAAAAAATGTTTATATATGCCTATAATATGTTCATAATTTACAAAAAAGTACAATATTTATTCCCTTTTTAGCTCAGTTTTTGGTCTCCACCGGTCCCTAAAGATGATAACTTCCTTTATAGCGCTTAAATATCTCATCATGTTCTCTAGCTGGTTGTGAAGTTTGACTGAGTGCTGTTTGGTGATAAGCTATGTAGCTCTTTGTGGGTTAGCTAGGGCTTTTTCCATTAAAACGACCGTGTGCTGCAATTGAAAGTGTTATGAGTGAGTGTTGTTAGGTCACTAAAAATGAGCGAAAATGTTACGATCGGTGGTATTTCTTTGTCGATTTGTCACTATTAGCTATGACTTTCATCTCACATAGTCATTTGCACCACTGTTAACAGAACAAGGTCCAGATATGTAGGAAAATCCATAATTAATTACTAAACTCCAGTTTTACAAAGTAGCGTGTGAGGTCAAATGCTCCAGCACAGAAAACAACGAGGAAAGGCAGGCATTAGTGTGAAAAAAAGCAAGACATGCTGAAAGCTGAGGCAAATATGTATGAGGTGATAATGGGATGGAAAAAAGCTCACAACAGATGACAGCGCAGGCTCGAGAGAGGAAAATGAGATGTGAGAAAGACAAAGGGACGCTGACGACAGAAAATGGAAAGTACATTCGAAGATGGATGGCAGGAGAAGAGGCCAGCAGAGGAGAAGAGTCAGCTCCTATCGCTTGTCTTGATGTTACCATGCAGTAAATGTCAGAGAAGCCGAATACCACAGAAATATAAATCACATGTCTATGGCCTGCAAATAGTTTCTGGAGGAACATCAAGAAATTCCTCACAGCTCAGTCCAGCAACATACTGCAGAAATGAGAAGATATTTCCTCCATCTGAACAGGACTCATTTGTGTTTTCTACAATAAATGTGCAGTTTGGCCTTATTTATGCAAAAATCAGTGAAAAGCCACCGTTATTTGCAAACTTACACTAGTTTATGCCATCATTTCCATGCTTTTTATTCATTATTTATGTAATCAACTGTGCAATACAATCTGATATGCACTGTTTCAACTTCCACTCCTAATTTTCTTCATTTCGGGGGTCTCAGCCAGTGTTTCCCAAATGGTGCGCTCTGGGGCAAATCCAGGTGTTCTCTGGGATTTTGGGTGACCAACACATTAGCATCATAACTTCATAAAAAACTAATGTGTTACCTTTATATTCACTATGTTCATACACATCGAATACTCTGACTGACAATTTGTGACAGGTGGAAACTGACAAGCCACAGCTGATAATGAGGGCAGACAACCACATATCCTGAGCAGGTGGGCAGGAGCCACATGAGAAATTGGATCTGTTGTGGAGGGCCTTTATAAGTTAATTGGTGTGGCTCTCCACAACAGTCCCCCTGTCCTCCTAACTATCAGTCCTTGGAAATATTAATTGCCCAGCCCTGCTTATTGCTCCAGCCCTCAACAACAGTCCCAGTTATTCATGTGGACCCTTAGAAATATTAAGTGCCCACCCTTTCACATTGGTGTAGCCCTTCACAACAGTCCCAGCTTCTCATCCTTTGATAAAACAAATTATCCAGTCCTACTTATTGGTGCGGCCCTCCACAACAGGCCCACTTTTTCCTACTTTCTGCAAATCAGGATCATCCAGATGACTTCATGCATTTAGAAACTCCTAAATATTACTTAAGCTGACCTTTGTTGATCTAATGATTTGCTTCTTTCTAATCTTAACCTTCATCAGAAACACATTTTGAATATTAGCGAAAGTCTGCAAATGACCTGCTATGCCATGTCATTCTGTTTGAAATCCAGGATAGTTTGCCACTTCATGTGCAGCTCGGTGTTTTGCACAGCTGTAATACTTATGTGAGAGAGACCATCCCCGTCTATCATCCATCATAACACTGTCTAATGCTGTCATCGCTGCTCCGGTACAAAATCAAATAATATTTCAAGGTGTCCTTACAGCAGGTTCTCTTGCACTATTCTCCTGTCAGACACAACATAGTGACAACACCAGTGAGCTCCCGCTGCTTTATTATTCATGATAATATATTCATGATTCAAGATCTCCACATGTTTATTTCCTTTAAACAAAGACCTGCAATGCTATAGACATTTCCATTCCACCAGTAATCTTATTGGAAAATCAATATCCTTAACAAAAAAAAGCATTCTTAGTATTTATGGTATGGCATAAAGTGGCACATTTATGCAAGATTACAAGGCTCAGAGTTGCCTGTTACTTGTTCTTTGCCTGTAAAATGCACTTGTATGTAGAGATGTATGTAGCTGTTCTATATGCCCACAGTTGCTCCAAAAGCTGTATCAAAAGCCACTCAAAAACAGGCAATAAGAAGGAAATCAGCAGCTTGCTCGCTGCAGAGAGATTTCCATACCAAGGCCTTTCCTGGTGACAAACACTGTGTTAGTAGATTTAGTGCCTGCTCCCACTGATCACTAATATATCTGACCTGAAGATGCAGCCTGTGATGACTGGAGGCAGATTTCCACAGAAATTATTCAAAACGTTTTATACAGAAATGATTTTTTTTATGATACAATACAATCCATTCCCAGATTAGCAATAAATAACCATTTATCATCATCATTGTTTATTTATATAGCACCTTAAAAAAAACACCTGGTAGACCAAGAACATAACTATAAAGAGTAATATTAAAAGAACAATTTAACACAAAAAAATGCATGTTTCATAACGAGTAATGAAGATAATCATCAGAATCACATTAAAGTCTCATTTCTATCAAATGTTACCACTGAGGCAGCGCTGTGTGTGCTGTTTACCTCAATGACCGACTCTTATCGCCTGCACTCGATAGCTGGTTCAGGTTCGATTACAGTTATATGGCTGTAATCATACTCATTACAAGCTTTACATAACCACTGGTTCCAGATCAGCATGAAAAGAAATTACAGAGTGTAATGGCCTCTAGCAGAGACGGGTTCACACACACACAAACACACAGAAATGTAGGTGCACACACCACTTTTACTACAAACGTACTGCTGTGGAAATATTAAAAAAAAGCTAGAAATGCACTCAGAGATTAGTGTGGAGGCCTTGAGTACAGCACGTACATGTAATCCTCACAGTGAATGAGACTAAATCTGGCAGAAAGAAACACATGTCCACTGTTTTTGTGCGTGTGTTGTCACTCAAAGAAATCTTACCCTTCTCTGTCCTCGTCCGGTGTTATCCAGAAACGTGGGTGACAGCGGTTTGTTCTGAGGGTCAGAAATTGGCGCCGGTGCCACAGAGTTAGCAGACGGCGAGCCCGGACCTCCTCCTGTGATGGACGAGGAGCTGACCAGAGGTCTGCTCCCATTGAAGAACTGACGCTTCTCTGCCCTGAATCGCAGGACGCTCGCCTCCAGGTCGAGGCAGTCGCGCCTGCTCTCCTTCAGAGCATCCTGCCGCCGCTTGTAGGCCCGGTCGTTGGCGATGACCTGGGAGAGCGGGATACCAAAGGCCTTGGGAGCCGATTCTGAGGAAAGAGGAGAAAATTTTATTTTCTTGCCAGCAATGATGAACACATAAAAACAACAGAGAAAACAAGGATGAAGTAGAAAGAAGAAAACAAACATATTGCCCAGAATATCCAAATAGACGATATGGATGAAAAATAGGGAAATAATATTAGGGCTATTTATTTTATGCCTTATTTAAGTGTTAAATATTATTATATCACTCGTCCTCACTTGAACACATTCTTTTTGTACTAAATAAAGCTAAAACAAATTCTAAACTGTCTTGAAACGTGATTAAAATGCATAAGAACGGCATCTGTCTGATTTACTGTTTGTTCTCCTGTACAAACAGAGCTGCAGAGAAATACATCTGAATGCGCTAACATTGTAACTCATATTTGGAGCAGAACTGGAGCCTCCAGCGAGTCGTAATTTATTTATACTACACATTCTTGTCTGCTGATAGTATCTGAGATCCAAACAGGAAGATGATGTGACTTTCATCATTAGGGCGAACAACAGAAGCCTGGTTTCTGCAACATTTGCACCAGTGTTGTGCGATGCTGTGAAACAACAAATGAACACGAAAATGGATCTAAAATATGGGATGTTTTCAGATATTGAAACAAAAGCAAAATTCCTTGGTTAGGGGATAATAAATATCCCTAACCAATTGGCTGTTTTGGAAAGCTGAGCTGCATCGATATACACATTCGGGTATCTTAAAGTTTTCACAGAACTCTGTGCGCTTCTGTGAAAACCAAATACACCCTTGGTGTTACAGTGCCCCTATAAAAGCATTTACTTTGGCTAACACAACCTTCCCAGGAGTGTACGTTCCAGCAAACTCGCCCTGAGGTCGGAAGGTGCTCAAACAAACCCTCCAAAAATCCAAAAGCTACATCTCAAACTCTACAGGCCTCTGTTAGCATGTTAAATATGTAGGTTTATGGCAGTACACTTAGAAAAAGACTGAACAAGTGCAACTTGTTTGGTTTCCAGGAGAAAACTTCTCTCTAAAAATGTCTTTAAAGATTAGGTTTAAAACTTTCCTTTAGATAAAGTACATAGTTGGGACTGGATCAGGTGATCAGGCTCAGGGTGTTGGGGGCTTCCCATGATGCACTGAGTATTAGGGCTGTTCGATATAACGATATATATCGGATGACGATATAAAAACGTCTATCGTTTCATTTTACGCTATCGTTTGTTTCGTGGTGTTGCAAAATAAACTGTTTACTGCAACATTTTTTTATCGTTTTGATGGTCACTGCAGTGGCTATATTAGTTTCTTAAAGTTCTCTCTTTCTCTTATATTTTATATAACCACACTACCGACAGACAAGCGCCTGTTTTTATGCATTGTTGTTAGCAACAACAACGGTAAAACCACCGCGTATCTGCTTCTTTATTTTTCACATAAACCTTTCACAATAAAGTTCAAGATCCTGTTGAGACTTTTCAAAATAAACTGAATCACGTGAAAGATGCAGAGTATTTACGGATGAGAAGCAAAAAAGAGCCGTCAGGTGCTAAAAAATAAACCTTAGACTGAAACTTTAGAACAGGCAAACCGCAGCACGCCGTGTAATAAATACTCACAAAGAAAACGTTACAACTTATGTCTAATGTATCGTTTCATGCATCAGTTAAAACGCTCAACTCCAGGTACATGACGCGCAGCTGGAAACACTTCACGCAAGTTGAGCTGCCCGAGATTCACAGAATTTACAGAAAATGTTACATTTTTGTGGTTTATATCGATATCGGACGATAGATTTTTTAATATCGGGATATGAGATTTTGGTCATATCGCACAGCCCTACTAAGTATTTCTTCTTCACTCACTATGTGTTTACATAGCAGTCTGCCACAGGCCGCGGGCACCTTGTAATTGTTTATTCAGCCATGAACTTCTCAGCATACCAAAGTATTCTAGAGCCAAATATGAGCCCATCTGTCTGGCAGCTAAAAGTTGGCTGAAACTGAATCATACAACAGTACAATGATCCCAGGCACAACAGCCAATCTACAACAGAATGGCTGAAAAAGTAAAGAAAGACCTTAAATGCATGCATGTAAACTTCAATGAACCGAAGCAACGCTGTAAAGAAGAAAAAAAAAATCCTCCACAACGACGTGAGAGACTCACAAACTGAAACGGAAATGATTCCTTCAAGTTATTGCTGTTAAAGGCGCCTCTACAAGCTGCTGAATCGCTGGGGTGTACTTTTCACAGGAGTGTATGTGTTACTTTAAAAGTTTGAGATGGGCCTGTCTAATGTATGGGAGAGCAAATATGTTTGCCGGTGCTGCAGTCATAGTAGACAACGAATCACAAGGCAAGCTGATAATATACAGCAGAGAGATGGACGTACATCCCAGGTCTGAAAAGTAAAGCCAGTTTACTTGCAGAAGCACTTCTGGTTATCTAGAAGTCAGCGGGAAAATAAAAATACTGAAAGGAGGATGATCCAGCTCATTGGCTGATGAGTTGAACTAACTCACTAACTGATAAAGTGGTCAGCCAAAAACATCAGCTCAGGGATTTAATGGGATTTCACAAACCTCGGTGATGTCATTGTGGCAATGTCCATCTATTATACTGTTAATGACGCTGACAAAGCTCTGATTAGCAAATAGCATGAACCAAGTTCCATGTTAGTGACTGATATTCATTCACACACACAACAGGGTAAACAATCACTGTCGTGATCAACTTCACTTTGATGTCAAATGAAACAACCTCACTCTCTCAGTATATTCCCATAACATGATGTGATGGGCTATCAGCACAAACAACACACGTAAATCGAAGCAACACTCATTACAATGGTCTGTGAATACACAACCAATGCAGATGTGCTTGTGTGCAGTCCTCCAAAAGACAAGACTTGTAGCCTCAGATCTAGTACTGCATTTGTGTAGGTACAATACTAGTTGATTGAAAAGTTAGACAAACGTTGCTGCAGAAACATGAAAGAGAAGGACAGCATAGATGGCCTGAACTGAAATAATCAAACATTTTCTGTCTTCTCCAGTGCACAGGATAGGCTAAAGCCCCAACATCAGCACAAACACCAAGAAGGCCTGTTTCCCTCTTATTACACTACATAGGAGTGACATGTAGAGCAGGGGTGGGCAACTCCAGGCCTCAAGGACCGGTTTTAGTTGTGTCCTTGATCCAACACAGCTGATTTAAATGGCTAAATTAACTCACCAACATGTCTTGAAGTTCTCCAGAGGCCTGGTAATGAACTAGTCATTTGATTCAGGTGTGTTGACCCAGGGTGAGATCTAAAACCTGCAGGACACTGGCCCTCGAGGGCTGGAGTTCCCCACCCCTGATGCAGGTATTGTGTGTGCCATGCCTTTAGTGCTCGATGCAGATCTTTATTAAAATGCACAGTTGTTATTAACAAAACACTGAGGGAACTCGGGAGTGTGAGAACCTGGAGGAGCAGAGATTACAGGGATGCTTACAGCAGTGCAGAGATAATGACTGATAAATCGAATCAAGGCAACTAAAGGCTCTGTTTATAGGCGATGATGAAATGAACTTGTTAGCCTGTGAACGCCGTAATCGCACAGCTCCTCGCACAACGGATAAGAGGTTTAAGTAGACAAGCAGTGTAAGAATAGACAGAATGTTGGGAGCAGGATAATCCTGTTAGAGCAGCCACACAGCAGACATCAAACTCAGACTGATACGAGCTTACTGCAGACACGCTCACGCAGGTAAACATGGTACAAGTGAGGTCACTGTCGTCAGTTTCATCCTCGACATATCAACTCAAAATGTAAATGTCTCACTATGCTACATCAGTCCACTCCCGAGGTTAAGCATAGACTGTTTATCTGGCACCCACCTTAGTGAAGGCCCAGTTAGACATTCAGTCTGGTGACTCTTTGATCAGGATCAAAAAGTGATAAAGCCAAAATGTAGTTGTTATTTCATGATAAAAAGATGCATCGCCTAAAAAGAATCTGGATATTTTGTGCATGAGAGGGAAAAAAACACCAAACGGTACAAAAACTGCTTGTTGGCTCTCTGTCAGTAGTGCCCAGGAGTATACCAGATGTAGCCACACAAAAATGTGTAACTGCTCCAGGGTGTCCTGGATCTACCCTAGGACCTCCTCGTGATAGAACATGCCAGGAACACCTCGGCATTCTGGAGGCCTCCGAATCAGATGCCTGAACCACCTCAGCCGACTCTGCTCAGTGTGGAGGAGCAGCGGTCCACTGAGCTGACATGTGTTTCACACACATGAAACAGGAAGAAGATTATTTAGGTTCTATCTATTTAACACACTCACATTCAAGAATCGTGAACGATTGTTTGAATGGAAACACATGGATGCACACGTGCACAGTCTCACCCGGAGAGTCCCGAGCAGGTCAGAGAGGCAAATCAGACTGGCAGGATGCCCTGTGAGGGCTTAAGGATGCAGGATGGACTCAGCCTGAAATAACTCAGGTTCTGTGGGGAGTTTATTCTGCAGAGCTGCATTGCTCAGATCAAAGGAGGAATTACTATTTACATTACTTTAATGAAACCAAAAGACAAAATTGGGAGTGAGCAAAACTTCTCCATTTAATTTATACTCACATTTTACTCAGCTCCAATGTTCCCTCTAAGCTGCGCGCATGTGCAATTGCACACTGCTGGCACGGTCTCTGCGCACAGAAAATCTGTGTTGCGCACAAAAAAAAGTCTAACCTGAATTGAAATTAAAATTAAAACGTTAACGATTCTGTTTTGCAGTGTTAGCCAGTGAGTGACTGGCTGCTCCTCTATGGGATTAGAATGATGCCACCTTATCCCATAGTCCAGCCAATGATGCGATTCACATTCGTATATACGCAGCTAATCAACGTTGTTGACAGGCTATGACAGCGTCCTTATGTGGCTGATGTGGAGTGAAGCCACGTTAATGACAACATGTACAACCATTGGAGATGTGAGCAGGACAGACGGAACAACTGACGGAAAAAATGTGGATTTTATACCAGTTTTTAAATTGTGTTGATAGGCCACGTAAAACCAGAGTTATGATAAAAAAATATATATATATATATATGCAATAGGTTTTTTTTCCTATCATTTATATTTACTGTGGGAAGAAACAGTAAAAACTGTGTTTTATAAGGAAAACGCTCAAAAGCACTCCCCGCCTGTGAGCAAAAACAAAAACCCCACCTTTTCCTATTGGTGTAAAAATGTACCATGTCGACCAATCAAAACATGGCATTTAGTTGTTTAGAAAGCGGGAAATTTTAGGAGTGACGGCGGTGTTTTGAGATGTGAGACATTTGCGACGTTTAGCGCAAATCTTGTGTAGTTAGTGTGTAGTGTAGTCAATAGTTTTGTTGTGTGCGTCAGAACAATGAGGCGACTGCTGAATGTTACAGGTGTTACAGCAGTGATACATCTCATGTCAGGCCTGCATCAGGCTGTTGTTCTCCTTTATCTCATAGTGGACAGAAATTGTTTTTTGGAGTGGCACAAATAATTTGTTTGGCATCAAACACCGGATACACCGGAATAAAATGGGAATGGTTGGTGATATTAAGAGGATTGTCAATGCAACCCTCTTCTCCCACTCTTCACACACTGATAGCAACGCCGCAGGAGAAATGCCAGGGTAATCAATTGGGCAACATTGGTCATTATATACTGTATTTTGCAGACAGAGTTACAGGACTCTCTCCCAGACCACACACTCACACTCATAATACAAGTCAGAGCTTTATAAAAAAAAAACATTTAAAAAAGAAAGAAAGTTGTATTTTCAAAATTGGAGTTCAAGTTATTTTTACTTCCAATAGTGTTAACATACTACACAGATCATGAAGATTTGTTTAAATTTGTTTAGAGGGAACATTGCTCAGCTCTAAATAAAATAAAATAAATAAATAAAACACCTGTTTTTAAGGTTTTGTAGTGAGCAGCCCTTTGATAAGTGCCTTGCTGACTAGCTGCCAGCTATTATTAGCTTGTGGCCACATGTGCAAGCTAGAGCAGAGCTAACACGTAATTAGCGCAACAGATTGTGAAGTATTACACAGCTGTTTACACAGCAGGTCACCATTCACTTAAACGCTAACTTGTTTTTGGTTGCTAAACAGATATCAACCCATTCCAGCTAATAAACATGATCAAATTAGGCTGAAAAATCTTATCAGCAGTTTCTTGGCAACACTAGATGCTAGCTGTTTACTACATGAAGGATTCACTCTGCAGTTTGTACAGCCTCTTCTCCTCCAGGCACTAAATAAAAAGGAGATCTTTACTCTTTAAAACTGGGTAAGTACGGTATAATTTAAAATAGTTTATTGTTGGTAAAGAACATGAAAAATCCAAATCATTCACTCATTCAAAGACTTTTCCTGGATCAGTCATACAAATATTTTTATAGTCAAACTAGTTAAGAGTCTAAAATCTCAATAAAGATTACACCAAAGTACTTATTTTTAAAGTGCTGATGATTAACAGTTGCCCCCAAAAGAAGTAAAACATAAACCCCAACATATGGCGAGGTCTGACAGACAGTTCGACTCGGGAACTTTTTAAAATCTTCAGCGCTTTGTAAGCATGTATAATTTGATGATACAGCATGCAATGGTAACAGTAATGATCATATTTACCTCTTATTTTATGACACACTGAGTTGAAACTGATTTTCTCTGAAAACACACTACACAAAGAAACACAACATTGCGTGTCAACAGGAATGGGCTTTATCCACTGAAAAGATGTCACCTTTTGATGATGTGCCTTACGCTGTATTTGATCTGTAAGCCGGGGCTTACTCTTCAGTCCTGAGTCCTGACGTCTGCTTGGAGGTACAGTCACTCCTGACATTTGGCCATGTTTGCTGGCATCACAAGCCAACTGTGATGGGGTTAGCAGCTTGCACTGGAAGCGTTTGCTTGTTTAAAGTAAACACTTGATGATTTAATAGCTATCTGTGGCAGCAGGGAAGTGTTGCCTCTCACAGAAGGGCAGCCAGATTAGCAAGACGTTTAGAAGAGGGTTGTGAAGTAGTGGGAAAAGTATCTACATGTTTTCTTTCATAAAGGCTCAAGGCTCATTAACTAGTAATGTTATATATTTGAAGTCACACAGATGTAAATAATATGAAATAAGAAATTTGAGTTTTCAAGTCTATAATTCTCTAGCTATTTGCATTATAGTAATTCTGCTATGGTTTTCCAGACTGTTAACACTAGTGAGTAAAGATGAGTCCGATGCTGAGAGAAAGCAAGAAAAGAAGGGAGTAGACAGAAGCTCAGCAGATGTTCACTGAGTCCTTGATTTTACTGAGGAGGCAAATAAGAAACATATCAGTGATAAACCTACAAGATAGAGACTGAACTGTTGCTGAACTGGGCTAATCTTGTGCAAGAATCTTGGACTGACTACTGGCTCCACTCCATCCCTCCACAAATTTAAAAATATTAAATCTCAAGAGTCCCATCTCCTGGTTAAATAAACGTTAAGAGCTGAAAAACAAAATATGAATACAGAGGAATCTTCACCAAAAACAGAACTGTTAGAACAACTTAATTATAATTGTATTATGTCAACTAGAACACATGATTTAATTAAGTTTTTTTTTATTAACTCTGTCAGATCAGCCCAGCAGATTTCAGTTACACACAATGCACAAGTGTGCTTTCACTTAAATAAAAACAGCAACAAAATTAGAGTAATTTCAAGTTATAGATAGAAACCCAGCAAATACACCACCATCACCAAAGCAGAAGACTGAATTAGAATCATTTAAAACACTGCACTAACTACAACCAAAATATCTCTTTTTATAATGTGTCTTAATATGTGCTGAATTGTTGATAAAAAAAAATCTGCCAGGAAGGGAGATGCTTGTGTCAAAGTGTTACTGTTAAGTCTAATTGTTGAATGTTGCCATTGTGTTTCTTAAATTTGTACAGTCTTAGTTCAAGCAGTAGGATCAAAGCCATTCCTTTGATCCTGACCACCTCTCCAACCACTCTGTGCTGGGGGAGGTTTTATTGTAGATACATCCTATCTGAAAGATCTGTTTCTTTTGATGTAAACTTCCTGGGTTTACGACCCTTTGGTCAGCAGGAGGTCTGACACACACACACACACACACACACACACACACACACACACACACACACACACACACACACTCTTACAGAAGTTCACACATATACATAAAATGCTTTGTCTTAGAACCAAGGGGGCGTGGCTTTGTTCTGACGTGTTTTGTGTGAACTGTCTCTCAATAAAAGGCAGCAGGAGGAGGTCAGATCTGGGGGTCATTATCGTGGTTTACACAGACGAGGCCTCCCTTGCGCAAATAATCGATCGATCGACTGTCTTGTTTTCTTCATGATGAATAAGTCTCTAGAATTAGCGGGGTTTGTGGAAACACAGACCCAACAGTTACAGTTCAGGAATTTCCTTTCTTTTCTCCCTAAATATGTCTGGTACTCGGGTCAACATCTGTTACTTAAAAAAACTGAGTGGATATATTTAGCAGAGGAACAGCTGGGTGATAATATCCAACCTCCTGGAGCATTAGACTTTAAAAACACAGGCTGTCCTCTGTAAAGTATTTTCCTAGGAATCAACAGTTTAAACTATTGCTTGGGAAAATTACATAGAAACTACTGGTTCACTGCATTATGATCAACCATACACGAATGTCAAGCAGATCACAATTGTCACTCTGTAATCCGTTACTTGACGCAGTCCTGCCTTTAGTAGTAGAGGAGCAGAGCCAGCAGGAAAGCTGCCAGGTCCCAATGTTCTGTGTTTTCATTAGCAGGGTTAACTAGAGCTAAGTCACTGTGTGTACAAGGCTGGAGGCAGGCTTTAAAGAGCTGCGTAGACAGCCAGTCAATGCATGTGCTGTGTAGTGTTGGGCATTTTGGCTCGTATCTCGCCCTTCTGCGATAATCACCTGAGAAAAGAGAACATCTTTTTCTGAGAGGTCATGCTAACATCTGATTTGTCACATGGGTTAGAGCAGGAAGATGAAAGAAGAAGTGGAGAAGGAAAAAAAACACAAGAAGAAGGGAAAATAAGTTCAGGAGCAAATCAAAGAAAGCCAAAGAGAAGATGAAATGAAAAAATCAATACAGAGAAGTACAAAAAGCCTCAAATTTGTTTTGTTCAACAAGCAAACTATCTGCTTCTCTAGTCTGATGTTACTGGCAATTTCAGGGTCTAAAAAGTTGCTTCAGTTTCCATAAACACAAACAGTGAAACACCATTAAGAGTTAAAAACAGTCCAAATTCTTTCAGCTCCAATAAAAAGATTAATGTGGCTCAACTCCCAGGTGTGACAATAAACTTTAACATCTAGTCATCCTTAAACAAAAAAGGATCTATGATGTTTAGAGGGGCTAGAAGTTTGGTCCCAGTAACACGGTCCAGGTCTAAGGACCAGTTGGTGAACATCTGGCAACCACTGGTCGTTAAGCAAAAAGTGTGTATTCCTCTGGGATTATGTATTCCCTGAGTGCTATTAACACCTGGCCTTAATGCCAGTCACCATCCCCCCCAGCAACTGCTGGTTACCAGAGGAAATTATGTAGTGGTTGCTGGCAGTTGCTAGTGTGAAATTGATCGCAAACAGCAAAAAGCCGGCAATCACTTGCTAACTAGTTGGGGAATGCACACCTATTTATGCCACCTATTTGAGGTTATAAAATGATCGCTGATTGGTTTCTGGGTTTGTGTGACTGAGGCCTTGACAGGAAGCCAGCTAGCTAGCTAGCTAGAACTTTGCTATAAGTTGCTATAAATCTGGAAGTAAATGAAGATGGAAAACCAAATATCAGTGATGTTTGGAGGGTTAGTGAAGTTGGGTTATAGTTGGTTAGTAGGAGAGCTTTGGTTAGACTAATATAAACTATTGCTAATATAAACTAACGCGGCAAACCGCCGTTAGCGAGTTATGGCGGATTGCCCCGTGCGTGGGACGATCCGCCATAACTCGCTAACCGAGGTTTGCCAAGTTAATGCAGTTATGGCGTTAACGTCATTTTAACGAGATTAACACTGACAACACTAATATAAAAACATGAGCACTGGGTAGGATGAAGGTTAAATTGTCTTCAATAAACGTAAACGCTGAGGGTCCTTGATTGGCACATTCAAACGCCATCATATAACAGGGAGGAGACACCAAAAATGGACTTTTTCGTACATCTGAGATGAGCCCATCTGCAACATAAGGTTAGTCATTACCATGTTGATTGGTTTGGATTACTGGCTATGAAAAAGTCCTTAATGGTCTAAACCTTAGAAGGCCTCTGTGTGATTATTCCATAAGCTCTTCGATGTTTTGTTTCCAAGGCTGTAGTGTACACTGTAATTTGTAAAATCTCAGTCGAATGATGTGCTACGCATGAATAGCGCCAATAAAAAGTAGAGGCAGAGAATGATGACCAAATAGGGGGCTTGAGTCTACAAGAAAAACAACGGAGCAGCATGTTAAAAATACAAGCGTCTCATCCAACACAGCAAATGCTTTGACTTGGAGAAAGTGTTGTTATCGCATTGCTTAACAAAAAGATTGCCAGCACCATAGCCCCAGGAAATTAAAAGTATTATTTGATCTGCAGAGATGAGACTCTGTATATCTTTTACTCTTTTTAACCACAATGGCGAGGTGGCAGTTCAAAAGAAATGTGGAGGAAATCAAAGCAGAAAGACACGGGTCCCCTCAGAAAATTCAAAGGCTTGAAGAAATATGAAACCTCCCTCCATTTCTGCTGAGAATGGAAATCACGTTTAGAACTGGAGAATATCCGGCAAAAATAATCAGATTTCATACTGCTTCACACCGAAGGCCAAGTGGACTCAGACTCAAAAGAGCAGGCTTTCATGGACTTAACTAAATACTCCAAAAGAGGGGTGTGAGGAAGCACACATGCCACAAATGTAGATCAAAGATCCAAAAACCAATCCATAATATCCAAAAGTTCCAGATTCAAATCCCTTTTTTGTACCCAGAAAAACACAATTATAAAAGATAATGTGTTCTAAATGGGGTTCTTCATTTTGTTAGTCTGACTTTGTTAGTTTCTTTGTGTTTTTGGTTTAAATGTAATCATTTGTTGCAAAAAAAAATCCCAAACATATTGTAGATGATAATTATAGCTCTACTAAAGAAGTTAAACTTGCAGTTTGTTCGTTCATTATTCACTTGCGGTTATAAAAACAATGAAGCACCAGCTAAGTGAAACTTCCAGGATTTAGAGTTCATTCCTGATCCACTTGTTCTTTTTAAACAGTGTTTCAAGTATGTGTGGCCATTAGTGGTTAGTGGTGGTAAAAGCCACTGGACTCCAGTGGTGTATGTGGTTATGTAGCTTCAGTGGACAGAAGGGACATTGTGTTTGACGATAACATTTAGCGTAACAGCCTGTGGGGAAACACATTCACAGTTTATAGCCGCAGACGGGATCGTGTTTACCCACTTCTATGGTTTGGGGTTTCATGAACTCACCTCGCTCTTTCTTTTCCTTTGAAAAGGAGTCAAACTTCCTGCGCAGAGATTTTCTTCGCTTGTGAGTTTCTGTGGGAAGAAAGAAAAGGTCACAGTCAATACAGTTTGTGGTGCTCAAGTATGTGTTTGCTTTAGTTTGAACAATGAAGTCTGTGTCACAGTCGGTCTGGGATGTCTGTCTTTTGTTACTGTTGTACATCAATGAGATGTGCCCATCACCAGCTTTTATCTGTACATGAACCCAAATACTACCATCTGTCCATCCATCCATTGTGTACTCCTTACTATAGAGTGAATTAGTTTAGTTTTACTTCATTTCCACTGTAGATTTGCTTTTTGTTTCAGCAGTCTGTATTAAATAGAAAAAAGTCTTTATTTCTGAAAATTATTTAGTTTTTGTAATTTTTCTATTAGTTTTAGATTTTTTTCTCTTTTTATAATATGATGTGTATTGATCAGGGAAAGAGTTACAAAGTTCAGAACAAGTTTCATGACCCACGGAGAGAACACTAAAGCCATTTAAAATTTTTAACTAAATAAATTTCTAACAGTGTTACAGCATTATGTAAAATTGTCACATTGTTGGTTTATTGACTGTCCTCGTCTGCTTCCCTGTATATAAAAGAAGTATTTCATTGGGACATTAAATTAGATTTAGGCTTTAAACAGCACTCGTTTGGATTTGTGTACATGAACACGAACTAATTAATTATATTTTAATGAATATTTAATGAGACCAGGCTGGTATATCAAAGGTATGTGGTGGAGTAAGTATAAATGTATTAAATCCATACTTATAACCTTGATCATGGAAGTAATATGTCCTTTTAAACAGACACCACCAATCAGGCTCACCCTCAATACGACATTTACTTTTTCTTTTCCTCTTCGTCTCACTTGTTATCTTCTGCTTTCACCTCTTCCTCATTTCCAAGACGAGAGCAGAACCTTTTCAATAGACTGAGTCTGTTTAGTGTTTTGGAATAGCCCACTCTGTCTAATGGCCCTTGACATGCTGGATGAAGAGAGATTTGTTGTTGCATGTGTGTATCTATAAGTAAGATACAAAGAGAGGTAAATAAATCGAGGAAAAGTGTTTTGAAGATAATAAGTGATTGTAAAAAAATGCCAAAACACCAAAATGAGCTCTGCCAAAAAAGGATTTTAAGACTGAAATCTACTTTAGTACGAGAAAAAAGGATGGAGAAAAGATTTACCTGATGTACCTTGAAAATTCAATTTAAGGCGACACAGTTCGACTACACGCCTGTTTTTTCATGCACTTTAAATTTTGACATTTTAAATATATTTTACATAAATGTATTTGTGACCAAAATACAGATATTGTTTAGTAAAGCTTCACGATCGTACCCCCCACCATGCCTCGTAATTTCATAAAAGAAATGAAATCATCGTATTATAGTCAAGATTACTGATTGTTTACCGATTTAAATTTTTACACCTAATACTTACACTGGCAAGCTAGCTTAATACATGATAGCTGATTGCTATACAGCTTTCTTTTTGGCTCCTGACAGTATTTCTTCAAAAAAAACAAAAAAACAACCTCTGTTTAAACTCTATGTCAACTAAAAGACAAAAACAACCATTTCAGTTGCCTTAAGGTGCTTTATATTGTAATGCAAAGACTGTATAGACTCCTACACTTTCTATAAAGGTCTTGGCTCATATTTGGATAGATGTAAAACCTCATTTTCATAAATTTCATAAAACTGACAATGCAAAAAAACATTTGAGTGTACCTAATAATTTGGGGAAAATTTCTGATGAAATGTTTACCCTGCCTGGGTTTTTCCCCTTAACTTCAGTCAGAGCTGAAAAACAACCACTGCTGACATTTCTACTTCCTCTTCGCACTTTTTAAATAAAATACTGTGAACTACATCCCCAAAACAGAAAATCTGACGGTGTGCATGTTTTGTTACAAGTGGGATATTTTTTATTTTTAGGAACTCTACAGCCTCGCACTCTGGCTTGTGTGGACGAAGCCTTTGTTTGCTTTAGCAAAGCTGCTGTTTAGAAATCACTAATTCAAAGTCAGACCTTTTCCCTATTAAGGAATCACTGCTGTTACCTTCATGGCAAGTAATGCTGCCCGGCCTGTTTGTGGCACTTTAAAGTACGGACATTCTTTTCCCTCTTTTTTCCTGCTTTAATCAAAAAAATAAGAAAAAAATGAAAGTAGCAGGGAGCAGATGAAGACTGCTGTGTGCTGCTGGGATAAAGAGGTCAAATTCTCATGACTGCAGGAAATTAAAGTTTATTTCCAAAGCACACAGCCCCTCCCATTGAACGCATGCCTCATCCAGCTGAGGCTGATCTGCTACTGATGAGTGTGTGCATGTACATGTGTATGATTACATAATGCACATTCACAGGGAGATAAGGTGACAGACAAGACAAAAACAAAGAGGGGATAAACAGCCCAGGCTTTGATGTTTAAAAGACTCGGCTACCTTCCTGCGCTCCAAATGTCCATCACGCCACTCTTGTGTTAATCTATGCACGACCTGAAGCATGTGTGTGGGAATGTATGTGAATGTTTTACTGTTACATCTTATTAGTATTTTAAGTATTCTATCTATTTTATTTATTGAATTTTATTGTTTTATTTATATTTTGATATTGCTAGGGATGATGCAATGATCGGGGACCATTCTTCATTTCGTTGTTCTCGTGACAATGACAATAAAGTTTCTGATTCTGATTCTGATTCCGACTGAAGATGTTTGACGGAGGAAATCAAGGAAAATGATGCATTCAATGTCAATCGCAGGTATCTAAAATCTCCTGCAGGCCTAATGAACAACCAGAAACATTTCATGCACGTTGCTACCTCTGCCAGATCTATTTTACAATCTATGACTGGCTGATTAAGAAGTGCAGACGTGCAGGTACAGTGTTTAAATTCATTCAGAACCTCAATGTCACACTATTTGTCTGAGCTGATTGTTAAACAGGCCACCTTTATTTATTACTGATGAACAGACGCATGACTACTGTTTTGGATTTTATCTCCTAACCCCAGTTTACTATCCCATTTTGGTTGTTGTTTGTTTGTCTCTTCACCATTTTTGGCTCTGACTGATATTTGCAGCCCCTGAGGTCAAGTGTGCCGGATGCAGGAGGGCAAGGGACCACTGAATCCTTCCCATCTACTCCGAGACTTCTGGTAAAATAATTCAGGAATCGCAGAACAGGCACGTGTGCTTTTTTTAACTTCTTATTTGTGAGTAATACCACTGTAACTTTGAACTGAAGCAATACTGGCAGGACAGATGCTGTTGCGTTAGCCGATTGTTAGGTTTGCTTAATTATGTTCTTAGAGCCTTAAAAATCATCAGATCATACATGCACAATGAACATGGCTGCAATAATATGCAATAATATGAGTCAATTGCCTCGAACAGCCCATACTTTAAGCAATGTTTTACTCTGTGGTGTTCTTTTTTTCATGTGTTGCAGGCATAGGAACCAAATGTAAAATTAACATAAACATAAGCAGGAAACACAGAGGCAAGTAACTGACACTGGGGATGGGTTGATAGATGTTTCAAACACTGCTCCAAAGTGTGGTTAAAAACACCCATGTCACATGACCATGGCTACATGTCACCGTGGTGACAGGTCTCTCTAATTACACTGACTGCCTGTATGCTCATTATATACTGCCACTTCATTAGGTATACCTATTCAACTGCTCCTTTACACAAATATCAGCCAATCAGCACTGTGCATTTAGACATGGGTGGTGGCTGATGAGGCCAAAGGAGAATGGTCAGACTGCTTCAAGGTGATAAGAAGGTAGGCAACAGTAACTCAAATGACTACTTGTGCATACAAAGGTATGCAGAAGAGCATCTCTGAAAATGAAACAAGGTAAACTTTGAAAGGGATGTGCTGCAGCAGCAGAGACCACAAAGTGTGTAACTCCTGTCAACTAAGAAAAGAGAACTGAGGCTAGTGAGGCGATGTTTTATCAGGCAACAGAGCATCATTTAAACTCCAGCCTAAGTATTATTGCTGACCACATCCATCCCTTTATGACCACAGTGTCCCATCTTCTGATGGCTGCTTCCAGCAGGATAACAAACCATGTCACAAAACTCAGATCATCTCAGACTGCTTTCTTGAACACAACAATGAGTTCACTGTACTCAAATGGCCTCCACGGTCACTTGATCTCAAGCGAACAGAGCACTTTTGGGATGTGGTGGAACAGGAGATTCGCATCATGGATGTGCAGCCCATAAATCTGCAGCAACTGTGGGATTCTGTCATGTCAATGTTTCCATGTTTCCAGCATTTTGTTGAATTAAGACAGTTCTGAAGTCCAATGCAGACCAACCCAGTACTAACAATTAGTAACCAGTGAAGCAGCCCATGCTCATATATTTCAGATTATCAAAGCATTGAAAGTTTTTACTCTTTTTAATGCATAACTTTTTATATCTTGCTGCTGTATACCTGACTAGAAAATCATCATCTCAAAGATGCTCACCTGGTTTAATAAATATTTACGGATCGTAAGCACAAATCCAACTACAGGTAAAAAGCCAAGAGCTTTAAGACTGAAATGATCCAGGGAAGTAATAAAAGGACAAAAAAGAAAAGGAAGGAAAACGAGAGGAAGTGGAGAGAGAGTTAGTTTGCAGTCCCTGCAGAGCAGCGACTCATAAAACAGGGCATGAGAATGAACTCCAGACCACACCAAATAAGAGAAAAATCTGTCACTCAAGTACCAACACACTTCACAAAGAATTCCTTGGACCCTGCCAGCAAAACTAAAAACCACACTTGTGATGCATAAAACATTCAAATACCTGCATACGGGGGCCACACACGAAAATAAATGGAGAGTGGAATATATACAAACTGTACAAGCACACTGGAGAAGGTTTATGGGAGCGATTTGTCCTTCAGTTCCAGCAGGATGAAGCACCCAGAGAATAAAGGGAGCGGGCACATAGAGAGAAAAGTGAGATGAAACGCGAGGAATGAAAACACGTACGGAGATGGGGAGGGAAAAAAAGCAACAAAAGACGGAC